GACTGGACAAGCCTAATCAGGACACAAAACAAATGTTACACACATTGCAGATTTCAGTATACACGGTGCCCATGTACTGTATTCCTGTAAAATCTTTGCAGGTTTTTTAGGTCAACTTGCACACTGTATAGCTGGTACAATGCGTCCGCCATTAGAGGGGGCCTCGCTGAATGTACAGTGATGGCTGCTGGGATTGATCTATGTATACAGCATTGCTAGAGCACTGACGTTTGCACCGTATAGAAACACAAGTTGACTAAGACGTGTTTTTTTTTTATTTCTAGGTGTGTATTTTTAGAATCGTCAAGGAACTGCTTAATTAGTGACTACCAACTACCAAGCTTAGCGGGGGATTAATATCTCAGTCTTGGTGGCACACACTGACAAACATCCAGAAAATGTGGGTTATTGGACAAAAATACCAAGCGTAGCTGTCATAAAGGTAAAAACATTGGTGAAAATGCCCCCCCCCCCCGCCCCATAGCGCCGCCACTGTCAAGAGTGCATCTAGTGGTCTCCCCCAACTCTCCATTTGTCATCGTTGAGGGGGTACTTCCACAATGATTGACCACTATACTCTACAATCTCTTTTGTGGACCCCACAGTGTTTTTATAGCGAAGTTCTACTCCACGCTTGTCAAAGTAGAAATTGACGACTTTTGCTCACCCAAAAAATGTAACAGTGGAAACGTCAGTGCCCTAGTAATGTCTCATAAAATAATTTCAAAGGCAAACAACCAACCACCCTGCTAGTGCGCATCACCAAACTAACTACTTCTAAGCCCGATAGCATTGACAGCAGTAGTTCAACACTTGAGAGATCCAACCCTTATCAACTCGCAATGAACTTCATCTCTATAATACAGTGATTTTACAAATTGTTCCTCACGAAACCTCGCATGTGCTTACACCACATTTAATGCTGACGCTGGTTTTGTTGATGCAGGTCCTGCAGAAAGATGTAACGACAGTGTATACGTACATTTATTCGTACTCATTTCTGTCCTTAAACCAGTACTCGGAAAATCAACTATAATTTGTACAACCCAAAGGGGTGCAGTACTTGTTCACACAGCTACTGCCACTTGTACATGTTTTATACATGTACTCACTTTCTACTCGAGTACAATTTACTGCACTTGCAGTTGCAAGGAATTTCCGACAGCACTGTTTCAAGACCCATTCTGACATCTAAAAATTTGTGAAGGAGCAGACCTAGTATTATATTTTACTGAGGGGGTTACGTTGACCTGTTTCAACATCTATTCATTCACAGGCCAGTTTTCAAGAGTTTCTGTGCGTTTTACAGTCAAATACTCCTGACTGATGAACTATTCAGTTCCAAGAAACAAAGATCTGGGACTGTACAATAATAATGACTATAAAAAAATCCTTGATGTCTATGATTGCCTGTAAGGGTGTGAACGCAAATGCTGATGACTTGCTTGGTGCAAAACGGCCTGTTAGTGAATAGCAGCTCAGCAACTTGACACATATTTCTTGCGATCGTGTCACAAGTCAAGTCTCAAGCAGTGGTGTGTGATGTATACCGACACATAAATAACACAGCCCACATAATGTGCGTGCAGCAGGGTCAATCTGATACGTATCTCCACAGGAAGTCATCGCAAAACATCCCGGGATGATCAATGCCAAACCGAGTTTTTGTACCACTTGTTGACAAACACTTGCAGCATATCGATAATCAGGACCTTCCTGCTGATTGAGATCAGTTGCAGTTGTTACTGGTACTGGTCAGTTAATAAAAGACGCTGGGTGGGGAAGTAATACTATCATCGTCGTCATCAGGCGTCCGGTTTGCAGGAATAACAGCATTTGGGCCCGTAGAAGTTGTGGCCGCACATGCCGTGCTGCGGTACGAGGTAGCACCAGTTGTAGTTATCCACGCAGACTTGCGGAACTAAAAACAAAAACAGAAACAACAAACACTCTAATAATTTACAGAAAAAATAACCAATCTCAATGCCTTGGATGCGTTTCAGTCACACTGGGTTTGCATTCACTAGCTATAGGCCCTGGGAACATGCCAAGCCAACATGGAAGGATAATGTCATTGAAAACTATATGCCTATGTATTAATCATTCCATTTGGAGTTACTAATTGTGCAGGGCCTAGCTTAAGTTCATTGGAGTGGAAAGCACCCTGATGACGACCTATTCGTATGATGAGATTCATAAAAGCCTGGTGCTGAGGAACTCCTATGAATTTAATTTGGCGTAGATATTTAAGGACTACGGACTCTATAGTCACATTGGTTTACCTGTTTGACTACACGGCTCTGGGTTACAGGTCTGCGTTTCGCTGGGTTTGTTCCTCTGTTTGCAGTTCAACGAAGAGGTACGTCTCCTGGTGGCAAGGCAATTAACTTCACGAGTCCTAACGCCTCCTCCACACGTCTTTGAACACTGAAAAAACAAATCAAAGAAAACCATATTAAACCAGTAGTACCTTTACTACATTGTGATACATTGTGTGTAATCGCTGCTAAATTCAGGTAACCATTCAGTGCTGGGGCAGTTTTGGGTGGTATAGGGAGTAACAGGCAGGGTGGTTTCGGGTGGTTTCCGGCAGTACAGGGAGCAATAGGCAGTTGTGTTTTTTACCTCTGACCATGTAGTCGTCTTCCATTCAGCCGATCGCTGCGCAGGCTGAGACTGACACACTCCCCGGTGGCAGGGTTTGGTCGTCTGCAGGTGGGGTCTCTCTAGGTGACTGCATTCGTCGTCGTCTTGTTCCCGATACTGACCCTGTCTGTCCAGGTAACTGCAGCGAACCAGCCGCGAGCGGCGTCCCATACCACACGTCACTGAACACTGTGAAACGCAAACATTGATGTTATTGGTAAACCTGGAATATCGTTTCTTAAAACACCACTCATGATGTTAGCAAATTGGATTAGCACCTCATAAAGTTTGGAACATTGTGAGAAACACAAGTGTTATTGTTATGGCACCCTCAGCTTCACCCAAGGTAACATCTGATCCCTTCGGAAGATGCCATGGCCCGCAACACAGCAATCACTTTCAATGTATTGTTAGATTTCCAAGATGATTTTCACGTAATAATCAAATAGAATAGCCTTAAGGACTTTTCACACTATCATTTCCCCTACCCATGTTAAATTCAACACGGGTCCAAAGTGGGACCAAATCCCATTGAACACAGGTAGGCATCCAAACTTTCATTTACACTGTCATGAACACGAGTCGGCTGTAGATTTTGGGCTGTCTACCCGGGTAGAGCTTCTCAACCCTGGTCCTGACCAGGGTAGAATTTTACCTGGGTAGACAGCCTGACTCATGAAGGTGCCTTGTTGGATTCTTGCTAGTGTGAAAGGAGTTTCCGAAAACTCCATGTAGGACTCGGGTCCAACACAGAGATATTGATAGTGTGAAACGCCCAATGGACCATTGTGCATAGCAGTCATGAATGACAACACCAATGATGAAACCATTTTAATACAAATTTGAAGATTAATTGAATATGAAATGAGCCTGTACATATACACAAGTCATGACTGCCTTTTGAACAAAGCACTATACCGCCCAACCCTCAATAATAGACCCCTCTCATAGACAGCCATCTTCGTAGGCAAATGACAACTGCGTATTCAACGTCATCAGGTATATGTGGGCGCAGTGTGCAAAATGTTCTAAATACGCGTGCATGTTGCTTGAAATTTCTTCGAAATATGGCGCAGCCGATGCGCGTCAAGAAAATTTGACGCCCAAAATGCCGATGCACGTGACAATCAGTGGCGTCATTTGAGAGATATCTATTACATGTAGGCAGTGTGACAGCAGCACTAAAAACTGCTGTGCCAAATCACTGTTGATATTTGAATGAAAGGTAAATTTTTATTCAATCCACACTGCGTTGCAGTTAATGATGTAAACTGTCTTATGAAATGATACAATAAAATTATATAATTCACAGCAAACAGAGATGTCATTAAGTCAATCACAAGACAAATCAAAAGTCAATCACAAAGTCCCGGAAAAAGGGCATAAACAACAATAATTGAATACTTGACATGAGATTGTTTACTTGTGATTGACTTCGAAAATATTATTACAACCCATGACAAGCGATCACACAGTCAATAAAGCTGCCCTCAGGTCAACCTTGCGTCGACACAAAATAATCGGCGACCGACTTTTCAGGATCAAGCTGCGCCTGAGATATTACTGTCAGGAACATATCAGTCGCCAAATTTTGTGGCCTGAGTGATACTGCTATATTATTAAGACGATTGGCAGCAGTCGGCACTAAAAAAAATCAACAGTCGCACCAGTAGAAAAATTTTAACTTATGCGCCGCGACAGAACATGTTCCCGACAGGCCAGAATCAATTGTAGTCGATCTGTGTGAAGTTACACCGTCATGTGCACATCGTTATCATTTTATTGTGAATCATTGATGCGTCATAAGTGACATGAGCTTGGTTGTGATTACTCTGTGCCCAGATGTAGCTTCTTCCACAATGTACACACTTTTTCTCAGTTTTGTGACTTGAGCATGACTTTGACTTTTGTGCTTGATGCCGACAGCTCCATTGCGGCGCAAGCAAATTGCAGGTTGACCTGAGGGCGACTTGAGACTCAAAACTTTTAGGTGGCTGAGAAATAAACCAACAGAAAGTTTGCAGTAACACCATGTTAATTGTAAATGTCTATTTGTTAAAGTTGGAAAAGATGGTTCTTCACCAGTCCTTCTCTTTACTCTTTCAAATGTAAAGTCTCCCCCCCCCCCCACGAACAAAATAAAATTGGGGCTACTGCAAACCCATGAAAGTGTATATCGCTGTTGCAAGTCTTTCTCTTGCACCACTCAAATTTAAAAAAAGATAAATTATCTGCAAACTACTACAAACCTTCTGCGAGGCTTCAACTGCATTGCAGAATATATATGTAAAGGCCGGTTCATACCCAGCGTGAAAGTAAATGCGAACTAACAACGTCACGGCAAACGATTACACCGCAAATTCACAGGTTCAAACACATTTCAAAATATGGTGAATTTTGCTGCAAATGTTTCATGACGTCAATATCGCTTTGCATTCGTGTGAAGAATGTACCGGCCTTAAATAGATGCATGACATCGGATGCAATTTTCTTCAGCATTTCAAACCACGTAGTAAAGTACAACTATTAACTGAATTAGCTCGAGAGGAACTTCTTGAGATTGCCTGAGTACTTCCAAAGGTTCCATCAATTCCATCCTCATAATGGCTGTTTTGGCAAGTTTCCTTGTTTGGACACAATTATTTGTAATTTTGGTTTAGTTTATTTTCTGCAACTGTGCAACTGTGCAACTGTGTTTACTTACAGTGCAATTGTTAAGCAAGTGCAAAAACAACATGCTGATTTTGGATGCATTTCGATTTTTTTTTGCCGAAACGCATCTTAGCAGAAAGTAAGCAGCAGCACGAGATAGACAGAATTTTGAAGAGAAAAAAGTCAATAGTAGATTACTCTGTGGTGCAGAGTTAATATAAAGTGCAAGAAAAGTGCATCGAATGCCATGCAAATAACACAATCAAAGTAAGAAGAGAAAGGCAAACGTATAAAAAAAAGGGCGGCAAACCTCGCTCCAGGCCGATATATACCACTGCAGGTCCCGTGGGCAGGCTCTAAGGTTGCAGGATCTGCGCAGCGGGGGTTGGTGTTCCCCACTGCACATGGCCTGCGGCTTGGTTATGGAGCGGCCGCTACTGTCCATACTCTGACACATCACAGTGCGCGTCATGAAGCCTGTGTCACAAGATGCTGAGCACTGTGCATAGTACAACGGGTGCAAAATTAAAAGTAGTAGCAAGAAGTGAGCAAAAAAAAATAATAAAAATTAATGATAGCAGATAGGTGTCAGCAAAGAAAAAGGTGAAATTGGAGCGATTGTTTGAGCAATTAAAAATAAAGATTGGCCGTCGTTTGAAGCGCAAATCGTGCTTTACCCGTACTGCATCGTGAAGAAAGTCATCAACATCTGTTGGTAGGCACTACCAAACGGTATCCATTCTGGCAGTGTTGGCATCAAGTCAATCGCAAGTCAAATCGCAAGGATAGCTTCTTACTGAGCCTGAATGACTTGTGAATGACTTGTGAATGACTTGCTTTGATCGCATCTCCGCACTTCATGTAGGTGACGACAACTCGGCTATTTAAACAGCTTTTTGAACATGCATGCATGTAATGTGTAAATGAAGTTATTGATATATAACAACTTCAAAGCCTTCTGAATGTATTTATAAAGTCTAATCGGTGTACAATCAGTAAATAATGAAAACCGGATGATTAATTCAAGAATGTCTTTCGGAAGTTGACTGTTAAGTTGAGAATTGGCCTCTACTTCAAAGCAAATGCTTGATGGTGCATTGGAAATCTCTCCTATTCTTCCTCCCCCCCCCCCCCCACCTTGAAAAAAAAGAGGAAAACAAAATAAACAAAATATACAGAGTCAGTTACATGTTGACAGTGCTGTACCACCAGGGACAAATTTCTTGAAGTTGTTGAGCAAAAAAACCACTTTGCTTAATAACAACCACAGGATACCAGGTAAATTGCCGTAGAAGTTATATTGCTTTTGACTAGTTCTCAAGCTGATTTTTCCGAAGCTCATTAACTCGCTAATAAAGCAGCATTTTCTGCCAAGTGTCTCCATTACATCCAGGCTAGGACTGGCAACTGCACGACTCTGAGGGGGCCATTCGCACTGTGTATTATTGACTAGTAAGGATTTCAATTGAATTACTGAGGGAACTGCAGCATCTGGAGAAATGAATCATGCAAGTAAAACTTCCTGACCGGAAAGCAATATTCAGATCATTGAGATGGATTACTGATGTATAACCGATTGTATAAATGTCACTGCTGGTACCTGGGAAACAGAGGATGAAATTGCAGTCACATATCAGACATTTTGGCAAACATTCAAATGTATTTGTCAGAATAAAAGTACTGGATGTGAACAGTTTAATTCTGCACTGTTAGTGCATTCCTAGTTAGTTTAATTTGTTTTATGGAAAAACCTTGCTCTAAAGTGAACATTGGACTGGTACCTAATGAAATTATTCCGCCAGAAATGGTTTCGATCGAAAGGAAAACAATCATTGAAGAAGGTTTTATAAAAGTGTGCCTGCATAATTTTACGTGCATTGGCAACGGAATCCAGTTGCCTGACCCCCAAAATTTTACATTCAAGAACAAATTCTCTATTTTCTCTAAATGTGAAGTAGCCATTACAACTATTACAGGTTAGTTGTTATGCATTTTGAGTAATTTAAGGAAGTCAACAAATACTCAAAAGTGACTGGGTCAAAAGTTCATTTTGTCAAAACAACTTCTGTGCCTAATCTCCCACTCTTGTGGAAGAAGATACTCCAACGAAAACACTTGTGTATTATTCACAACCTATTATTTTCAATAGGCCATATTTTTCAGCGAATAAGGACACAGTGACATCACCATATACTGGGTGTTAACAGTCAAAATATGGATTTACACACAACTTTTTAATCAAGTAATACATTGTAAAAATGTTATTTTTGCAAGAGAGCATTTACACCAATAACCTTGGATCCGTGTCTGTTTAAACTCCATAATGGCGTCTTCGCAGAAACCTACTTAATTAGCTCAAAAATATTTGTAAATGGAAGTGGACAGTGTTTGAAAACAATTGCGTAGGCAACACTTTCTAATAGTTTAATAAGTTTAGACACTTGCTAAGCCTAAGCGGCTTAAAGTTAATGCCCGTAAATATGATGAGGAAATTGGCTTTACGCAACACGGATTGGTATTCCTGTTTGTGTGGAAACTCCAACTCGGTATCCAAGCGCTAAGTCCGAGTCTTAGTCCCGTGTCATTTAAATTATGTCCACGTCCAAGTCTTGCTTTTTTTTGGATTTGTTTGTTGTTTCAAAATTACTAAAAACTCTCTAGTAGGTTGCATAACATCTAACCTGTTGAGGTTTAAGCTCAGTAGCTGCAATACATTTTGAGAAAATAGAGAAAAAATATGCACAATCTTTGGGGTTTTGTAACTGGATTCCGTTGCACAAAAAATTCCACCACCATTAAGAATTGTTTTCTTTCCATCAAAACCATTTTTGATGGAATAATTTCACAGGGTATTTGGTACCAGTCCTACTTTACTTTGAGCAAAAATTTTCTCATTAAATCGCTAGGTCCATGTCTGGATAATTGTCAATGTTCCTATTTGAATTTCACTCAAAGAGCTTTTTTTTCAAAAAGAGGAAAATTTCTTGTATAAAGGAGAAGAAATTTGGTCATTGACAGAGTTGCTGTGAAGTCATCACAAGTCAATCACCGGCCAATCACAAGTCATTACGTCCCAAGTCAAGTCACAAGTTATTCAAATGAACTGTGACAGGGGTATTACTTTGTCACTGTTTGTGACCCCATTTGTGACCTGACTTGTGACCTGACCTGTGACCTGACCTGTGAACGACCAATAATTAACCTCTGATTGATAGGTGACTGACTGAATTATGACTACGGTCAGTGTTCATCATTACTCAAAGTCAGCAACTTTGTCACAATTTGACATAAGACATTGCTTTACCCAGTACGGCTAACGTAACACTGCTCTATTGAACATTCGGCTATAATGAACATCACGCTTTGGCTCCTGAATGTTTGGTACAATTCCACCAAACAATTCTGAATTCTACAGAAATCACATTTAAACTGTCCAAATACATGGTTCCTATTCAACTCAAACTGAGAGACTGGTGACTTGAACTCAGACAGTGTGGTCCCGACTATAGTACTGCATGCTTTCAAATGCAACTTTCTTAAGTCAACTTTTGAAGTAGTTTTGGTCCAAGACTGCTTGGTTTTATTCCAGTTATACAGCTGGTCCGCGACAAGCGCGGTAAAGCCATCGTGGCAGGTATCAACTAGCATCAAATCTAATCTTGGGAATATTGGCAGCGCTACACAGGATATTCCCAGCAAGCCTCACACGCATGCATTAGCTTGAATACAGTATTCATGAGGTACGCTCGGAATTTCCAGGGTAGCACTGCCAAAGTTCCCAAGACTGATTTGATTTTTGCAGTCGTTAGCGATGTCTACCGCCGCGGCAACTTTACCACCCTTGCCACAGACCAGATGTACAAGAGGTATAAAATCCAAATCCTACTCTGAAAGATCACAAATCCCTCATGGTCTCAAACTATCACATGCCACTATGCAAAAGATAAAAATCATCTGAGTATAGCTTACATCTGACCATCCGTTTGGTATCCACCGCGCCGGACAGTCCTGCATGTTGCAGTTCCTGCGTTTGCGGGGCTTGGTGTCCGTGCAGTAGGGTTCCTTGACGCTTTTGTCGACCCCTTCCCTGATCTGACGCATGCATTTGACGCGTCGTTTTTGCCTGCCGGTGCCGCATGACCGGCTGCACTCTCCCCAGTCGGAAGTCTCCCACCTGCAATGACAGCGACAGGATTGTAGAGGATTATGGTCCCAAGCAAAATGCTCAGAGTTTTTAAAATCCATGACACGCTCAATTCATGGGATCCTGTACAATTCTGCTCACCAACTGGACAAAAAGAAAGGGTTATTACAGGCTCTCTTTCACCTCCAAACAATTCACCCTTGTTTTGGTACCCCTATAATACAATGGCCCGCATACAATTTAACAATCAGTGTAGGATATTTTATAATGATGGTAGACTTTTTTGGGGGAATAAAGTGCATGTATCCACTAATCATTATGGAATCTGCGCGCTATGACATACAGTGCTGTTTTAGGAAAGTAAGTAAACTCTGTCAGAAGCCAAAATGGCCCATCATCAGACCACCATTTATCTCTGGTTTCAGTGGCATGAAACAACTCGAGAATATTTCTATTCACCATGGATGGGATGCCAGTCCATCGCAGGTTACTCCCCAGCTAATGCTGGTACCCATTTATACTCCTGGGTGGAGAGAGGCAAGTGGGGGTGGCGAAAGGCAAGTGGAGTGAAATGGCTTGCCCAAGGACACAACATATGGCCAGCAGCTGGAATCGCAAAAAATGACCCTCTGATCATGAATCATGAATCCTATCCATAGACCTTTATCATGCTGTCATCATTTCAGTCATGTTCCCTGTATCCAATAACAGTACTGAATGATAATGTTTTTGTGCAAGAAGGAACCAGACTATTTTTCCTCCCAGCCTCGTTTTAGTTACGTTGATTTGAATGGGAAAAAATCAAGATGGCCGCAACATGATAATGGTCTATTATGCCCACGTTCCGAGGGCTCAGTGGACGGGACCAGCATGCGCGTACTGTGCACATTGCGCGAAGTACGCATGACTAATTGTATTCTGAATGTTTATTAAGCCGTAGTGTCTTCGCATTAGCCCAAAAAAAACCAACCGGTTTCTGGTATGGAGCTTGCCCAAAAAGTGGTGCGGCGACGAGCCTTTTTTTTTTTTTACCCTGATTTTTTTGCTTCAAATGTCGGCTGATGACTGCAAATGGTGCCCGACTAAACTTAGTGCAAATATATGGGAGTCCAGAGAGGCCACATAAAGCTTATTCTCGACCATAACCCAATCTAAAAACACGTTAAAATTGTGCAGCAGCAGGATTCCAGTCAAACCAGTGAGTTTGTCGGTTTTGAGACATCATCTTTCATTGAAAAAAAACCTTTTTCATTTTGCTGACGCGCATGGCTACGGCGACGCGCGCGCATACCAGAAACCGGAGACTTTTTTTTTTGGCCTTAGCGCCAGGCGTCTCCGGCAATCTTTGGTCTCCCCAAACCCTCCCTTTGTAACGGTTGAGGGTTACTTGTGCACAGAGCTCATAAAATGACACTTACTACATGTAAATGCTGCTGGCACTACGCGTATTCCCGTATGTGATTTTCTGTATGCAAGAATGCCTCACTAGGCCAGTGTGAGCACATTGACTTTCGGTCATTAAACTCAATGTCACACATGCACAAACCAGTTCATGAATACACTATGTCCTCCACTAGCTCTTGTATGTAGGCCGCATGGCGCTACTGATACTGCAGGCAGTCCACAGCAATCTGTTTAAATTAATATCTCAATGGAAACTGACAAATTTGGTAACTTGATCAGACAGAAGTCAGGCAGCTTGATGGCGAGTCAATACAGCTTGTTACATTTCACTTTACAAGACCCAAGGTGAAGATTGGGTCAGCGTAATGGAAGCAGAAATGAGTCAGACAGGGGAATCTACTCCAAGTCCCGGACTGAGTCATGAAAGCAGGTAGGCAGGAAGGTTAACATGATCAATCAATGTACACCTGTCACGCTCTCACACCTGCATCATCATACCTGTTAACCTCTGCGCAACAAATACATGGTATTGTAACAGAACAATTTGTATTATCTTTTTGTTTGTTAATGTCTCTGGCCGCAGACGGACCGCAGACGGCACACTGACGGCGCTGGCATAGTTTGTTTACAAGGCACACTGATCTAATTCTTTTGTCTGGCTTATATATAGCGCGTGCCCCGGAAATAGGCTCTCTACAAAGACTGCTACAAGTGGGTCTCTTTTGTTCGGCTAGCGCGGGAAGGGTCTGGCCAGAAGCCAGGTCGGGATGATATTATACTTTCTAAAAACATTGTAAAGAAGTGGAGTAGTGAGGTGTTATGCTGGGAGTCAGCAGTTTTTGTGAGTCACTTCATTGCAATTTTATTTTTTTTTGCAATGGAGTTGTTCTGCAGTTGTGATTTGGAAATACATCCGGTCTTCTTGAGTTGGCAATCCTGTGAGTAGAGTGTGTGTGTCCCCTTTCCTGCGTTTTGCGAGATTTGGAGGACGAGAACCCAATATTAGATCACGCTACAGTATCATTCCTTGGAACATCGCCAAACTGATTTAAATTGGGGGGGGGGGGGCAAAGAAGGGTTTGGGACGGGTGGGTGGTGTGACAACAAATTTGCCGACAGACCCTCCATGCTGGAAGGTAGTTAGGAATTTTTTTTCTGGAAAGCTGGCAGTCGCCAAATTATAAAAAAGGGGGAAGGGGGAGGGGGGAGACACTATCCGACTATGGAAGGCAATGTTTACAGCAGACGATCTTGGACCCCACTGGACAATAGGTGGCCCTCTATGTTGAATTCGCTGAGAGACAAACAATTTTGCCAGCATGACAATTTTGCTGGCAAAAACAATGGGGTAGGGGGGAGGGGGTAACACCGCCCACTCCCTCTAGCAACGCCCGTGATTCCTACACTGCACCTGTTCATAATCACTTAACCGACCAGTCATACTTTTAAGGGGATTTCACGGGGCAGGGTTGCAGTACTGTACAAGTCTTCCCAAGTCAATCACAAGTCATCACGTCTCAAGTCAAGTGACATGCTATTCAAGTAAATGTGACCGTCAGTCAGACGGAGGCATTCCGTTGTCACTGCTCATCCCTTGTTACATGTACATGTGACCTTCTAATTTGACTTCATATTTGACTAGTGAGTTGACCTGTGATGGGCACCGACAACAAGGCCGTTGAGTGACTCACAATAAAGTGGACCTTGAAGAAGCTACTTTTGAACTTAACGATAATATATGGCAATTCGGGCAATTCACAATGCAGTGCGCCATCAAGAGTTTGCCCTGGAGAGTTCATTTTTCCCAGTGCATTGTGGGAGATGGTTGCCCAATTCGCAGCGCGGGACATTTTAAATTGTTAGTTTTTCCGGTCAGAAGTTTCGTAAGCGTATGATTCGAGGATCTGTTTGCTCTTTTCTTTTCTTGTTATCAATATGGTGTTTTTTGTAAGGCGGCAGAACGCTGCGTTCTTCTGACACTCATTCAAATGGGCCATCTTTTGTCGACCGTAAACTTGAAAAATTGACTCTAAAAGGCAAACTCTTGGTGGCGCACTACATTGTGAATCGCCCGGATTACGTGACCGGTCACCAAAAAATATTCAGCAAAAAGTCAGCCTTTTCAAGAATTCATAAATTTTTATTTCTAGACTCCTCGATATGAGCGATTCCTTTATGGGCAAGCATTGTTTAAGGTAGTTTTCGGTTGCACAGTGCAATTTTTATCAAGCAGTGTCATGATGAAACTATGAACGCTAACCCCAGGTACGTCTGCTCGTAATCTTTCCTGCAACCCACAAAGATATCAAACACTTTGCAAACCAGACAAGGCAAGCTAAATAAAGGCAGTTCCAGAATTCTGTTCAATTGATTCAAATTGGCTATTCACTGGAAGTCTTTTCATTCATCTGGTCTACACAATGGGCTGACATAAAGGGGTAATCCTATACAATAGCACTGCCCAGCTCACAAGTGTCATTCAGTCTGTCAGTCAGTGAGATAGGGAGAAGGAGGACTCTAGGCAGGCCCTCTGGGACCCGAAACAAACAAAGATGCACTCTCTGATATGAGCAATGCCCGACGAACAATCTAATTCAACACTATAATATGTAAGAGGATACGCAATAGCTGAAGGGGGCTGTATCAATATTTTCAGGGTGATGACAAATCGCCAACGATGACTAACGCTGGGTAGTATTCTGTTGCACACAGCGTTTGTTGTCGAGCAGTTTCATGATGAAACTATTAACACTAAACCCCCAGGCACGTCTGCTCAAAACCTTGGCCTCAATCCACAAAGAAATCAAAACCTTTGCAAAGAATCCAACAGTACTTTTGAGTACTTTTAACCAAATTGGCGACATTGAGCTCACTGTGAAGAGGTGCCTGCGGGACCTTCAAAAATGATTGGATAAAAATGTTGCATGCAAAGCCAGATGTTCAGTTTTGTATTTTTTTTTATATTTGGGGTGAATATAGGATCGCCAACTTTGACTTATTGTACTTTAGTAGCTTTTGACATTCATAAATACCTGAGACAGTTTCCGTGTTCCTATTGGTCGAGACCCAGTCACATGGGTGGTCTTAAACCACTGTTTAAATAGCAAAGACAAGTGTTTGAAACGGGCTAGTGATAAAGGTGGCTCCTGAATTAGGACAATAAATTTCCACTTTTGTCATTCTGGGGTTTTTTTTAACAAAAGAGAAAATTTATACCTTTAAAGTTTTTAGGTTTTGAAGTTCGGGAAAAACATTGACTTTACTTGAGGCAAGATGTCCTTTGTTTTTAAGTCCAACTTGACAACCATGCCAGTGGTGATTAACTGCACAGACTTTTCATTTGAATATTGCGGATTTGGGTTGATTTTGGTAGATTTTGATGGATTTAGGCGGATTGCGCTAAATTTATATGATTCTAGAAATTTTTGTCGATGCTGGCAGTACTTGTGGATTTTGGTATTTTCGGTTTCTCTGGGTATATGTTAGTAGATTTTGGCGGATATTAGTGCAATTTGGAGGATTTGGGTTGATTTTAATGGATTTTGGTAGATTACAGGTTCCTACAAAGATCACGTGTCTTACCTCGCTGGGCAGGGCCACATACTGCAAGTGAAGATACCGGTCCTGGGCTTGGTGCTGTCATCGCAAAATGAGTTATCTACCTCTGTGTTATTGTTTCTCAGACAAAACACTTCTGATGTCATGACACCTACAGGATAAACAGAAAACGGAAAGGCCGTTATGGACTTTGACAATTACAAAGACAGAGAGTTGGGGAGATCTATTAGTGGGAAGGACTCGCATGCATTGATGCTGTATACCTGATGCTTTAACAAAAACAAAGAATTTGACTGCAGTGAGGTTTGAACCTACAACCTCCGGATTGCCGTTCCGGTGCTCTACCAACTGAGCTATCCAGCCCTATGTTGGCGGTTCCCCACTTTTGTCAATATCTATGTTCAAGTGGTTCTAGTCAGAAGCCATAAACCTGTATATGCCATGTAGCCAGGGATCGCGCCCAAGGTCATGATACTAGCAACATTAGCAATGCTGCAAACCTGGGAAATAGCAAACGGGGATCACTCAGAGAGGATTATCTTGTGGGCCATGTGTTTCTTTTATAGCCAATTTCTACAGTAATTTGATTGCTTTATGACATTGACAGAACCTTTTAGTTTGAGCTTGTTGGCATTTACAACATAATTCACCCGACAGAAAACAAGGTCTTTCTTGTTATCCCAAACCCAAAACACATTTTACACTTATGGTAAATCCTCAAAACTTTGCCGCTTCCTCCTTCTGATGACAGCTGACAGAGAAATAACTCATCAGAGTCACGTTTGGTGAAACATACAGCGCAGCAATGAAAGCTGACATTTATTTTCATCCAAAGTTGTCCCCTAATTACATGATAATTTTATCTCCTACCCACCGAACTATGCATTTGGATGCTGCTACTTTTTGTAGGAATGTTGAACTTATCAAAAGAAAGCAGGTGTTACCGTTTAATCCTAAATTAAGTACACGTCAGCAAAGTGCGTTATGACATGGCGAGGACCTGTGGGATACATAAGTTTGCACATGTAAGTGTGACAATCAAATTCAGGTTTGGTGGTTGAGTGGTTAAGATATCCTCACTAGTACTACAGTAGGAGGTCATGGGTTCGAGTCCCACCCGAGTAAACTTGTGAATTTTGCTCTCCCAAGCTCTTGGATAGCAATGCGTATGGTGTGGAATTTGCGTCAGGGTGATGTAAATCAATATGAGGATTTGCCATCCGATCCCGCAAGCTCGCTGGTCGAGTGGTAAGACGTCTGCACTAGAAAGCAGGAGGTCGTGGGTGATTTTTTTTCTAGCACACCAAGTATACAGTGTTTATACGTCGGTGAAGGGCAAACCTAACATAGAGTATGGAGTGCTTAAAACTGGGCGACATTCTTACCTCCAGCGCATGACACTGAGCATTCAGACTCTTCTATTTGCCACGTGTAGTTATGTACTGAAGCGATGGCCTTGGTGTCCTGCCTCTGCACAGTGTACTGATAGTCGATGCCTGGGTTTATACCTTGTAGTAATATCTGCATTTAATGGAACCAAAATGCATAAAAATTGATGCATTTATTGGTTTTTTTTAATGTTGTTTTTTTCTTTTCTTTTTTCTTCTTTTTAAAAAAAATAAAATCTGCTCAGCTTTAAAGGTAAAATACATAGGCAAACATCAAAAACAAAACTACCAAATTACTATGAAATACGTTGCTTGACTGTCAGTGAATAATAGTCTCAAGCATCCTGTGGAATCGTGGCACTTGGTGTGCTGTCATTTTCAAGAAAAGTGGAAATTTTGTATCAATTTTCCAATGATGATCGGCCGACCATCGTTGGGGGGAAAAACTGACTTTTTTTCCAAATACTGCCCCTTATTCCATCAATTTAATCAGTCCACATTTTGTTGGCAATCGGTTACACAGCTGTGAAAGGGTGCACCAGCTAGTCTGGTTTCCTGACCTGACCATTCCGTGGTGTCTATAAGTTGCTCTGTTTCATCTGAAGTAGAGTCATTATTAACAAGAAACACCGTTCTTCACTCCCACATCTATTCTTTTAACCAAAGCCTGGACACTTCGTACCCAAATCAAACAATCATTTTGTTTTATTAGGGTGAACACTAGCAACACTGGAATATAGAAACATCTGAATAATCTCAGAAACTATTCCCCAGCTTTGAGAACTTACACTCTTAACCTTTTCGCTGTGACCTTTTTGACTTCTACACAAATACCACCATTTCCTTTTCGTCCAGAGGCAACTCTCTATCCAACTTTCATTTGAAAACGAATCTCAAAAACACAAAATGCTCCCTGAAGCCATTTTAGTCCCGCTTCCCAGACATCCGTTTTCCTTTGACCCCAAAACAAATACCAACTTTCCTTTCCCCATGGACAATCCTTCATCTAAGTTTCACCAAAGAGAATGTTTCACTGAAGACCAGTCAACATTTGATATCAAACAGATGTCTGAACAATGCCATGCATGTACGCCTATTCCCTTAATACAGTAATAGTAACTGTGAAAAAAAAACTCAGTTGGATCCAAAGTCATCGCCTGGCCTACATCCCAGCACTAACTTTTATTTTCCTTTTTTTCAAAAGGCACTTACGATCACTTCTTAATAGTGCTTATATTGTTTTGATGCAACAAAATTGCTAAACACTTGAAGAAGGCTGTGTAATAACTAACCTGTTGAAGTTTCATCTCAGTGGATACTATACATTTTGAGAAAATGGAGAAAACGTATGCACAATTTCTTTTTCAGTCACATTAAGTTAAATTTCATATTTTGAATTGTTCCCTCTTGTGATACAATCCCTAAATTCGCAATTCGGGCGATTCACAATGCAGTGCGCCACCAAGAGTTTGCCATGGAGAGTCCATTTTTCAAGTTTACGGTCGACAAAACATGGCTCATTTGAATGAGTGTCAGTAGACAACTTGATCTAATATGTTATGAATTGGAGCATAGCGTTCTGCCGCCTTACAAAAAACACCATATTGATAATAAGAAAAGAAAAGGGCAAACAGATCCTCGAATCATACGCTTACGAAACTACTGACCGGAAAAACTAACAATTTCAAATGTCCCGCGCTGCGAATTTGTCGACCATCTCCCACAATGCACTGGGAAAAATGAACTCTCCATGGCAAACTCTTGGTAGTGCACTGCATTGTGAATCACCCGAATTGGGACATGATTTTCACTCAGCCGCAGACTTCTGTATTAGTTTTGGTGTCTGTAGTGTAACGCCTCATAGCATTAGTAGTGGTGTGCATTTACGGGTAGTACAGTAACCGGATACCCTACTGAAGTAAAACGCGGGTACCCGGATACCTGTAAAAGAAACCCAACCCCACAATTCAAATCCTGTCAGTTGTCTGCAGGGCTTTAGAGTTTTACAGTGTTAACTGCGACTTTCGCAAGCGTCATCTGTCGCGCGTGAAAATGCAATAAATGTGAAATATGTTTGGGTTCTCCAAGTAGCCCAGTTTTCATTTTGAAAATTCCCCACGAGTGGCATTCAAACCCTATTTTTTCATTGTCCAAGAAGTGACTAATTTGTTAAGTTGGTTACGGGTACCCGACCCCATAATCTGGAACCGATTCCTGACATCAGAACTCGGGTACCCGGTTCCGATAGACACCGCAAGCATTCGTGCTCATAGCATTGACTGTTATTGGCTAAGATGTCTACAGCATTTAAGAGTTTTAGCATAGAATCGATGGTTACAATACTGAAATCAGTAATTGCAGAAAATACATAGACTTTTGAAATGGCAGGTTTCTCAGAGGATTTTCTTTAATATTTTAATTTTGTTGCAATAAACGCACAACAGGTTACTCTTGGCTCTCCTGGAAATACAAAACCACTGCCCTCTGACGATGCCTTAATGCATAAGGTCTATTCGGTGGGTGGGGGGGGGGGAAGTAAATTCTGAGGCCTAATAAAGAGTCCTCCAACTTGATTTCTGTAGAATTAAGAACAAGTGTCAGGGGGCTGAATCAATGTTGAAAACCGGTGACCAATTCTTACGGGGTGTAGCCATCTGATGGCAGGAAATCCCCATAGGCTTAACATGTCAACCCCAATTCCCAACACGACACTAGGTACAATACAGCAAACCAGAGCTGTACAATTGTCGCACGAAGTCAAATTGTTTGACCCCTTGTTAACAAGTTTGCAGTGATTGGATCGAGCATGCGATGCATGCCTCCGAATGCTACACCATCCTGTTTGAACAATGATTCACCGTACTCCCCGTTTGCTGTTGTGGAGCGGATCAAAATATTGCCTTCCATATAAATGTCACCATCTTGGCATGCATTCAACGGTGACAGAACATTACGGTGGGGGTGGGGGTGAGGAGGCACAATGCCTGTTTAGTTGGGAATCCAAAAGTTGGATGCAGGAGCAAAAAAAACAGTAGTTTCAAAAAAAGAAGGGGGGGGGGGGGAGGAATGATGCCCCTTCAGATGCCCAACATCTGCTGCCTCATTCATGGTATACATCTTCAATCATCGTAATATTGTTGATGTGTAGTTTGAGATGATATTTATTACAAAGAAATATTACACAAATATTTAACAGGACTCTTAACCCTACCGTGCCTCTCTGGTAAGGAATTCTCCTTAAAGGTACATGTACAGTCCATCATTTGCAGCCATCCAGAAAATAACTGACGTAATTCTTGTTGAAAAGCTTATTTGGTTTAAAGATAGTAAGGGGAATAAACTCCCTGTGAAATGATTTCTTTCTGGCAAGCTGTCATTTTGAAGAAATCAAAGAAAGAAGGCCTTTCCAACGATGCGTAGACGCATTGTTGGTAATTTCCGTTAGTACATGTAGTTCGTTTTTTTAATTCCGCAAAGCGCTCGTAAGCATTGACACGTCGAACCGGCGCACGGTTGCTATAATGCGCTGGTTCAGTGCGCGACATCGCGTATCTGCAATCGGCTCAGTGACAACGTGTCACGGATGCTGAATTCAGGCCCAATTCAAAACATAACTCAGCAACTTTTGATTTGAAATCGAGATCCTAGAATATTGATTTCTCAGAATATACAGCATTCACAGAGCTAAAACTTCATCGGGTTAGTTGTTAAACATCCTTCTTTAGATTTTCAGCACTTTTATCGCTTCAAACGAACATAATGCACAGATTACAAAATGATGGACGCTACCTTTAATCCATAACGTTACACATTGAGCAGAAAGGACAATCACATTCTTTCTACTGGTACTTTCAAACGGCAAAAAATGATCTGTATGCCAAATTACAGTGGCTGAGCTGGACTTCGTGCATGAGCATCCCCTGAATTGATCTATTTACAGTGTCACGGAACTAGGGATTACTATAATTAACTCAAAAGTGGAGAATTCGGCAAGTAATCCAAGGGTAATTTTAGGTGTAATGAGATCACACAGGAAGATTGCACATGATGAATAAACCGGAAGAACTCCAGGAAAACAGACTAAATTTTTTTTAATTTATCATCAATCAGGTTTCTATTTCTTGACCCACACCTGCACAATTTCCAAATGTCAGCACCGTGGCCACACAGATGACAGGAAAACCTACTTAAAGGTTATCAAAGTTAGCTAACCATCTATTTCAGCGATGTCACGGAAGGCATCGTGCAAATCCTGCTCTACGACATTTTAACAAGTTCTAGTCAAGTCCGTCATATGTCAAATCACAAATCTATGATGTCAGATCACGAGTAACGAGTCATGAGTCAAATCACAAGTCAATCACAAGCAAGCTCACTAGTACAAAGAGGAATTATAACCGACAAAGGAATGGCCTTGACCCAATTCACTTGATTAATTGTGACTTTGACTTGAGACTGGATGACCTATTATTGGACTTGTGGGGACTTATGATTGACTTGTGAGGACTTGTGCTTGACTTGTGCTTGACTTGTGAGGACTTGTGATTTACAGGTGAAGACTTCTGATTAACTAGCAAAGACTTGTGATTTCATTTGTGATTGACATGTGAGAACTTGTGTTTGACTTGTAATAACTTGTGCTTGACTTGTGAGGACATGTGACAGACTTGTGAGGACATGTGATTGTCTTGTTAAGATTTGAGATTGACTTCTTGGGACTTGTGAATGACTCATGATTGACGTGATTTGTGATTGACATGTGATTGATATGTGAAGACACGTGATTGCCTTGTGAGGACATGTGCTTGACTTGTGACGACATGTGGAGACGTATGATTGACTTGTGAGGACTCAAGATTAACATGTAAATGACGTGTGATTTCACTTGTGATCGGTTAGTGACAACTTGTGAGGCTCGACTGCCTACCTCAAGCACAAGATCTTCAGACGTCGGTCCCACCGCTTGCAGGTACTCCGGCATGTTGTAGGGTCTCCGGTACTCAAACACGGTGCCCGCAATGTCAAAGTTACCGGGCCAGTCCACGGTCCAGGCTCCCGTCAGGTAGTACTTGAATCCCTCGTTGCGTAAGGCCAGGTAGCTGGTAGACGTCGACAGCTCACTGACTTTGATGTGCCTGGCACCGGCTGGTATCTTTACAACCAAGTAGTAGTCTAAAAATTTCAATCGAAAAAAAATTCTTGAACTCTTTGGTCGTGACGTTCTACATCCTGGGTTGTTTGTGAACAATGTTAATTATGGGAGACATATGGCTCCACTTAGTCTGAGTCCAAATCACAAGGAATCACAAAAAAAGAAAAGAGACAAAAAAGAACACTTTTTAAAATTAATAAATGTTGCTTTTTGTGCACGTTAAGGTTGAAAATTGCACCTATAACTTTACACAGAACCTTCTAGACACAGGATGCAAAGTATTTTGACTAATACTAAGCCTTACAGTTATAACTAAATTACAATAACACATTTTAAAAATATTTGTCAGAAGAAACATCCAACTTTTATCCATGGCTTAAAAATACTGGCAATACAAATTTCATTTTCAGAATAAATATTCATACTGTGGATTGGATGGCAAAATGTGTTTTTGCAAGGCCCCTTATTTTCAAAACCTAACTTGCAAAAGTTGGAAACTTTTTTGGGAGGGGGGAACTGGGAGTGCCCTACTACTCCCCACCCCCACACTTTATGAGATTATACCCCACCCACGCAGAGTCTCTTCTTGGTACAAGCTCTCTCGGAAGTCACTACGCACCAAGTGCTATAACCATCAGGGAAGCCAAAAAGAAAAAAAAATAATATCCAATCTATCCCGCTCGTGTCAAACAAATTCCTCATTGCAGAAGGGCGCGTCAACCTTTAACTGACCCACTCGGTGTTATATTTAGGCACGCTTTGATTATGACATGTGCCATAATGTGCATTTCCTCGCTGAACGAATTACAACAGGAGACTATTAATTTGACAAGCTTCGAGGGGATTAAAAGTCAATCTGCAGTTTCCACAAGGACGAGAGATGAAGCCGTTTTATTTTTGAACCTCCACGAAACTTGACGGCATCTTCACATCCGGAATGTCCCAGTTAATTATTCAAATGATAAAGAAGTGATCAATAACATGGTGTTGACATTTGTAGTTTTATTTCAGCTCTACTTTGCATTTTTAAAATGTTGAGATCTTGACTTACATGTAGGAATAAATATCCTAAATGCTGTGGTTAATCATTTTAATAAGAAGAAATGGTCAACAACATGGTTCCGATGTTGGTAGTTTTATTTCAGCTGTAGTTTCTTCTTTAAAATCTGGGGATCTTCACTTCGGTTTGGAAATCCAGAATGTCCAGGTTAATTATTCTAACGATGGAGGATATGGTCAATAACACAGATCCGACGATAAGAAACTTTTTTTTCTCCAACTTATAAGTAACTTATCCTGGGACTTTTGCCTTATCACTCTAAGCCAAGTACACCAGGGACCAGCCAGCTACATGTGGCACGCTAGTCAACATTCCAAAGTCTCGGAGGAAGATACTCCATATTTTTTGCCGTTCGATACGACCAGCCTTGAACCTGCTGCCTTTAACTCGGTGATTGTGAGCAGGATTAAAGTTACAGGCCTTCCAGCTTTCTGGGTTGGGTTTATGGTCAAGGCACGGCTGGCCGACATCTGCCCAAATTCATGGTCTCTGCTTACTTGTGAGTGAAAAAATCTTTGCTAGTCCTCAGAGAGAATTCTGTGCATAATGGTTTCTTATTTCGTGAAGAATTTTGGCCTATGTTCATGTGTACGTCTTGTACATGAGGGTGTTGTGTTTATAACACAGTTAGCACTGAATTTCTGTGCCAGCGCTGTAAGCAAAGAATGATAAATATACATTTAAAAAAAACAAAGAACGCACAATTTTTTTTGGGTGTCTTAACTGGATTTAATTGCCAACACACGTAAACAGCGTACCCGCGGGCAAGCTATTTTGAAACCACCTCAAAGATTAGTTTTCTTCCATACAATATAATTTTAGGTGGAATCATTTCACAGGGTATTTGATACCAGTCCTATCTTCAGTTTGAACAAGAATTCTGTCATTAAATTGGTAGGTGCTTTCTGCTTTTCCTAGTAACTGCAAATGATCCTATGTGGTGTAAAAAACGACAACAAAAAAACACCTAACCGGAGATCATGGTCTAAAGACAACATATAAAAGTAAAGCCCACTTAAATTGTATTCAACGTGTGGAGAGTCACTTTAAGAACAGGAATTCAGTTAAACGTCCCTCACATGTATCTAATTTCAATGGCAAAAGTTAATGCCATAATAGTGCACTACTTTATAGATGCTTTGCCCTCTAATGCAAAAAGGTCTGGTTCCCTGTGTGGTCCGTTGGGAATGTACACAAAGGCTGATGCTACCCATGGGATTTCTTGATATTTCCTTGATAATAACTGATTTTTTCGAAATGGAAACAGCACATGTTCCCCTTTAGGACTCTTTGGCTCTGTTCTGATCCATCACAGATCCTCAACATTGTGAGATTGTTGGCATCAGACCCCAATTAGGGGATCACAGGATACAGTGAAACTGAAAAAAAACACAAGGATTTATTCCAACGCCTTGAGCTCAAGAAACGGATTTCCCAATTTGTGTTCCTAGTCTTAAGCAATCAGGATGCGCCCTGAAAGATCTTGGAGGCAACTTGCAGTGAAAGCAAAATGTCAAACTTTAAAAAAAGAAGTGTGGAATTAAACTGTTTCCATTGAAGTGCACATGGGAAAATGACGTTCATTGACCTTGGTGTAAATCGATTTAAGTATAGTAATTAAAAAATCCTTCGTCTCATGATCGGACTGTTTTTTTCACCGGACAGATTTCTACACCTCCTTGTAGGACATCGCTTTGTTCTCGTGTACGAAATCGTAAAAAGGTCGAAAGCTATTTTCAAATGCTCCTATTTCAACCAGAATTACTTTCCTGGTTGAAATTCCGACCAAATATCCCTTACATAAAATACTTTAATTTGCGACGATAAGTATATCTTGGAAATTCCTATTTTTTTGGGTAAAATCCATATATCAATTTTGTGAAATCTTTGTGGAGACCTATTCAAATTTTGAAATTGCCTTGTGGAGATCTTTATCAACTTTTGTTCCGTATTATACCCAGGTCTCCACAAGACATCATTTTTCGAAATAACATGGTGGACCAAGGTCTGAAGTGCGTGAAGAATTGTTCACACACATGGAGAGATCATTTCACAGATTATGGACTGCTAATTAAACAAACATGTCAAGACAATGGTAATATGTATATCACAAAGTGCCATGGTTTAATGGTTACTTGGTCAGACTCAAGTACAATGGTACGAGGGTTCAGACCTGGACTTGGAACATGACAACTTGTGTTCTTTGGCAAGACATTTTACTACAATTGCCTCTCTCCGCCCAGGAGCACAAATGGGTACTTGTAAGGGTACAGTCCAGATTGCGCTGATCTCGAGCTGCTGCAAAAAAAGTGGTCTCGAGGCCTGATGAACAGGGGTAACAACTGTGAAGACATAGGTAGTATAAAGTGCTATATAAGCACCAAATTATTATTATTATCATCAAGTTATTTGAAAAGTTGTTAACCATACTGACCGTTTTCTGTGTGTTGTTCCGAGTACACTCCGGACACAAACTCGCACGTGGCATTATTTCCCTGGCAGACACCGCAAGCATCTGGTTGTGCATCCGACCCCAGAACATGATCGCAGCCAACTTTCTACAAACGCAATGTAGTACCAAAACGAAAAATTTACAAACAAAATCAGATTTGATACATCATCTCCGAGACCTGGTCCCAATTTCAGGAAGCTGCTATAGATGCAGAAAATACTTGCTCAATAAATGTTGGTGCTAAACTATTTTTGAGGCTTTGAAACTTTTCGTGCTTAGCAAAAATCAGATGTGAACCAGTCACAAGAGACCAACATTGTACACCCTTTTAGCTTGTAACCTATTTTAGTTTAACACATTTTGTTTGGTGCTTAAAGAAAGGAAGGTTTGTGGTAACACCATGTGAAAAATATCTCTCTTGAGTTGTGTGGTTTATTTTTAACTCGCGTTTCGAACAGTGTGCTCTGTTCATCATCAGGAGACCCTTGTTTTTCACCAGTACCCTTTTGAGGACAGACAGAGCACACTCTCTGAAACGTCAAGTTCTACACTCAACCAGCCGGTTCTTTTCAGAACCACACTTCTTCCAAGAAGAGATTACTTTCCACTTGGTGTTCCCGCAATCTTTCTACTTTATCTTATCTGCCTTGCAAAGCTTCAAGTCATATATAAGTACCCTTTTGTCATGGACAGGCTGGAGGGTGTAATCTCCTGATGAGCATACTGTCCGAAACTCAAGTTAAAACAACTGGTTCTTCTCAGAACCACGCAACTCAAACGAGATATTGTTGATATGTTGTTACTGCAAACCTCCCTTTCTTTGTTTATGTCTACGATGCAAACCTTTCAGTCTCGTTTTGGTGCTTTAATTTACCCCTTGATATCTGAAGAGGCTACACAGGTTTAAGCATTTTCCCTCTTTTAAAGAAAACGCCCTTACCAAAAAATCTTAAAACCCTGTTTAAGGTTTTTTTGCAATTCCTACAGGTTCCTATGGAATTCTGAAAAACATCTACTGACATATAGTTGCTCGTGTACGATATCTGTAACACGTGGCAAAAAACTTAAGAAAAACCTATAGAATTTCATTGCATTAGTTCTTACAAATACTTCAAGGGCTTTTCATAACTCAGATAACAACATAATTCAGATTTCAATTTTTGACTTCATTTACTTGCAAGCTTTTGGACAGAACTGTACACAAATCAAACCAATGAAAACTTTATAATGTTTAATGCCAGTTCATACTCAGTGCAGATGTTGAACACATTTATACTCCAACAAATTTCATATCAAATCAGCTTCACAAAAACATTATTTAGACGTACCTGGCAGACCCCATTGACACACGTATCTAGGTTGTCGTGGCTACATCGTGTCCCATCATGCACCTTGGAGCTCAGCGGGAAATAAAAGTCGAACCCTTCGGCCATGCAATACAACTTGCAAGCTTCTTTCCCTATGAAAAAATATGTAGAAAATCTGACAATCGGAAACTAGTTATAGGCTTACTGAACCAAATTCTCACTAATAGTCCAATAAGTCTCGTTCAAATGACGTAATTTCCTACAGACCATCCACGTGCATCGACATTTTGAGCGTCAACTTGCATAACGCGCATCGGCTGCGTCGTATTTTGAACACATTTCGAGCAACAAGCGCGCGTGTTTGGAACATTTTCAACATTGCGCAATGCGTGCTTGATTGCGTTAAAATACGCAGTTGCAGTTCTCCTACAGAGATCGCTGTCATTGAACGAGTCGTATTGTAGTTCAATTTTACAGTCATTTATTTCATTAAAATGACATCAATTTAAACGGAATCAAAACATACTTCTTCTTTTTTAAGTTGAACAAATAAATTGACTGGAGTGGGGTTTGAACCTGGCCTCCTCAAATCAAAAGGTGTGGCCTCCTCAAAATCTTACTTTTGGGGATGTTGTTCAAAACAGACAATCTTGGGAACCAACCAAAAATACTCGGCCCTATTCGTTGCAGTATATTTGCCAGCAGACACACAATTTTGATTGGAACAACGATTTTGCCAACAAAAATTATTCTCTTTTTTCCCCACTCCCAGGGGAGGGAGAAGGGGAGGGTAGTGCGCCATTGTAAATGTGACTGACTAATCGATACAAGACTTGGGTTGACTCCAAGGAAGCTATTGACTACTTACTGTCAGTGTGCACATAGGGTTGCCATTCATAGTAAGATCCTCTGAAGGGCCTGCCGTTGAACGTTGCACACTGCTTGGCCCGGAAGTCTACAGCGTCCGGTTCACATTTCTACAGCGAAATATGACATTAACATGTAATCATCTGTGATAAACGACATTATGCCTTGTGTATACTCACATGGCTTCTAGTCAACATGGAAGCTCTCAAATCATGCATGTTAAGTGGCTGTTCACAAAAAAACTCAACTTATTCAAAAAAATTTACATCACAGAAAGTCTTTTTCATCTTCTGAGCTGCTCACATTTTTCAAATATTCATTTTTACTAAAATACTGTTCGGATATTAAGTGGAAGATCGAGTTTTCGGATATTCAGAATATTCCGCATAGCCCTAGCTTGCTTTTTGTAGTCCCGATTTAGAATGCCTTTTCACTTGCCGAAGTTCATCAAAAATGAATTATTCTCCTACCTGTATGTTACACATTCTGTAAATATGACTGGAACCCTCGCAGTATCTACCGCCATTCTGCGGCTCAGGATTGTTACAAAGCCTCTCCTTCTGCTGGACTCCTCCGCCGCACGATCTCGAACAGCTGGAGTAGTCCCCGTAATCAGACCAGTTGCCGTGGACGGGCCTCGGCCCATGCTTGTTGCGACTCACGCAGTCTCCCTGTATGCACCACTGGCCGTTACCGCACGACGTGCCGTCTGCCGCCGGTAGGAACTTGGTTTCACATCTTCTCTCGTCCCGATGGCACCATATTGATTGGCACAGCGACTGAGAAATAATATACAAATAAACCAACAGTTGAAGACATTATAATGTGTTATCTTTGCATGGTATTATAATTGTAACAATTCAAGAATTGCCCAATTCTCACACGGAGAACCGGAAGGGACATTGAAATGCATTGCTGAACAATCTTTATATCAGAACAAATTTGCAAGAATGAGATTGTCAATTTAAAAAAAAAGGTCTCAAAATAGATGAAAGGTATAAAAGATATTGCTTTTGTGTTACTTTCTATGCAAAGTCATCCAATTTTCCCAGATTGAAAAGGTCTGATTTTTTTTAATGTCTGAAAAATCTATAGAAAGTCATCCAATTTTCCCAGATTCAAAAGGTCTGATTTTTTTTAATGTCTGAAAAATCTCAAGTCTGAAGTCTGCCTAGTTCTCTATGGATATCAATGGAAAGGCTGTTTTTTGGAGATATCTACAGTTTGAAAAAAAAATGTCATACATGGGAAACCTAATTAAACATGCAACACATCAAGATAAGGATTTTCCCTGAAAAAAAAAAGTGCCTTTGTCACAACTTATAGGAAAAAACTGTCGCTTGATTTGGGACATGATGACTCGTGTTGACCTAACCGTAATGCTGAAGAAAAAGTTTACATTTTTCTTCACCCTAACCCTCACATATCCCCATTAATCATTTCACAGGAAGGAACACAGAGCCCAGCCACTATCGATTTACATTGGATCTTGATTATGCCTATTGAAAGTTGGCAAACCCTCAAGGAGCTTTTCAAAAAATTTCCCGGGCAAAATTGCATCGGCAGTTAACAAAGAAAAGAACATAATATATTGACAAAACAGAGAAAAATGCTATGCGTACTGGGTTTTTTTTTTTTGGGGGGGGGTATCATAACTAGTTTCTGTTGCTAACCCACCCTATTTTTATACCATCTTCAAAGCAAGTTTTTTCCAAACAATACCATTTTAAGCGGAATAACTTCAGCGGATATTTGATACCAGTCTTTTCTTCAATTTGAGCATATTTCTGTCGTTCAATCAGTAGGTGTTTTTCTGGGTACTTGCAAATGATCCTACAAGGCTTTAAACACTGCAGGAAAAAAACTTTCTTTTGTGGTTCTGTCCATCTAACTGCCAACCATTTGCTTGATTTAGAACTTGTAAAGAGGATTAAGAAAATGGCAGAACTGTTGACAAGATGTAGCTTTTTCTGACCACCAGAAAACGAAACAAAACACTTACTCACTTTTGACACTTAAGGTAAATATGTGTCAAGTGAATAACTGCATTCACACAGGTTTATATTTACTTAATTTAATACTGTAACCTCATTCCTGGACTTAACGGCACAATTGCCTCAACTTCACGACAAATTTCAGCCTTTGACAAATCAATGGCAATCAAATTACTTCCACACAATTTGACCAGTCAGGTTTAATACTATCAGCCTTCAAATCCACACCAAAAAATAATGATATCATTATACTATTAAGACCTGTGACAAGTCTGAAAATTGTTATCAAAATATTGCCTTGAAAAAAAGTTTTTAACAGTATCACCATTTCAAGAAACGACCTTCATGCCAATTTGGACGTCAGTTCTATTTTTTTTTTTAAACGAACTTAAAAAGGGGCAAGGTAAATTGACCAGTTTGTATAAATTCTTGAGCTGTTCAAGTTTCCGAAAAAACCTAGCTGTAGGGCAAATCTATCTCTTTATCGGACCGCTATTTTCTAATCGAATCAAGCACAACATGTGGCCCCGGAAAAAAAGTTAGGATTTGTACCTTTCCAAAGTTGAATGAACAGAGACGTGCCCTGGGCCCAAACTGCCACTGACACTGTTTATCAGCGTCATACAGTTCTCCCGGGAGCTTCCTGGGGAACTGATATTTGGTGATTGCCTTGGGTTCGTCCTCTGTACACCTGGCCCGGTTGGAACTGGAAATAAAAAGAACCACAGATGTGTCCAAGATATGAATATATGACCATGTCCGAATTATTTGACTACACATCTGGCGGTAACACATGTGTGGATGGGATATGAATTCAGCCGCTTCAATAATCAAATGGGTCATTCTATAAATAAGGACTGCCGTCACGTAGGTCACTCCAGATACTCTAAAGAGAAATGTTGCTCGAGCATAGACCTTTATCATGCTGCCACCATTTCAGTCATGTCCCCTGTATCCAACAACAGTACTGAATGATAATGTGTTTGTGCAAAAAGGGAACCAGACTATTTTCCCCTTCCAGCCTGGCCTTGGTTTCGTCGATTTGAATGGAAAAAATCAAGATGGTTGCAACATGATAATGGTCTAGTTGCAGTCTGGTCACATCGTTTGAACAGCTATTACTGTTAAAAAAAAAACATGCACAATAACTGTTGCTGCAATAGCAGAAGATAATTCCTTGTAAAAGAACAAAGTTTTAATGTGGAAATACAGTTTCAGATTTTTCCTTATTTAAGAAAAGGCTTTTAGCTTTGGAAACATTTGGCACTGTTTACCCTTTCGAGATCTTGAAATCACGTGATTTCGCTGTGAGCAATAGTATACTCTGACTGAGCGGGTCATACTCTTGCCGCTCGTGTTCTCAGGAGTATACTGGTGTTAACGAATGACTCGCTCAAACGCCGCCTAAGGGTCCAAAGTGTGACATTTTGTCTGTCCCTGTTACATATCTGAACTTATTCATTTGCTGCTAAAGTATCAATAAAAAGGAGTTCAAACTATTTCATTTGATGGTTAGGTAGTTTGCTTAACATGATCACACTTATGGGAAAAGGCATTTACAGGAGTGCATCAGAATTTACAAAATCAGTGTCAGTTGTAACAGGGAGAGGAAAAAGTGAACCCAATTTTAAGAATGACTCATACAAAATCTTTAGGTATGGTGGTTTTTTAGTTGATTTATTTTAGTGGCAGAGCTTGCAAAACAGCCATATTGGATGCTGGCCTATATTCACTCACTCAAGGAAGGTGGTGATGTATTCTTGACTGCATGGGGACCAGTGAAAGCGACCGTTGTTGCCTGACAACGTGGGCGACATGATGTAACCACTGGACTTCTTGCATTCGTTCCCGTCTCCATCATGGACCATTCCAAAACTAAAAACACATATGGCACATTTATGTTTACAAATGATGTAAAAAATGAGAAAAAATAAAATGAGAACAAAAGATAGAGATAAAACATTGTCAGTGTGATTCTGAAATGTATACACGCATGACAACAAAGAGCACTATTGACAAAATGGCGACGCCCTGAAAGCCAATCCCACAAATGGAACTGTTGGATAGCAGCTTTTATAATCCACAAAAAAAATTGTTGGGACTGGAAGGAAAAAGTTGCCAGTAATATATTACTGGACAGTAGAAAATTGACAACTTCAGCCCAGACAGGATCATAGGTTCACTGTGTGTGTGGGCCATTTTAGACAAACATAGCAAGCGACTCCGGAAGATCGTCTGTCTTTGTTGCTAATGTTCGTCGACGTTAATGGGAAACAGTTGGTCCCTCTTGCACCAACCTGCCAATATTGGCAAATGTTAGCATTATTCATACGAATGGAACACACCCCTGTTACTCATTTTACTTGTTTTTCTTACCTGTGACCTGATTCATGAGCTACAGTAAATGCCAATCCTAAGCCGGTGTCTTCATTTATGGTGCAGCTACGGTATTTACTACACATGCCGCCAATTGGAGCAAATCCTGAAAAATAATAATCAGAAGAAACAGAGATCAATAGATATACCAAAAGGGGTGCAATAACTTTCAATCCAAGGAAAATATGCAATGAAGCATATGGTCATTGACGCTTCAAAAGTGACATTTGGAGGATCACACCTTTCAAGTATTTTGATGAAAAATGACCAATCACGGTGAAACTTGCCAACACTTTCTAATGCACAGACAATGTACCATTAGTGTAAAAGTACATAGAATAATTTTCTCTTTTTACATTTTTGTTCGGTTGAAGTCAACAAAATTGCAAAATTGTAGGGTGCATAACAATAAACCTGTGGAAGTTTGAGCTCAGTGGCTACTACACATTTTGAGGAATACAGAAGAAAATTTATGCACAGTCTTCGAGGTCTGGTAACCCGATTCCGTTGCTAACACAACGTAAAATAATTTCATGGGGTATTTGGTACCAGCCTTTTCTTCACTTTGAACAAGGTTTTTCTCATTAAATCGGTCGGTACGTTTCCCGGTTAATTACCGATATTCCTTCATGCATTTAACGCATAATGGATATATTAAGAGGATGCAGAAACCTCGTCAGCACAACAAAACAAGTCATAGAAGTCAAGACGGGGATAACGACCACACATTTGCTCTTTGGCATTGTGAATGCATTTCAGGACTCCAAAATATAATTTAATGAATTCGTCAGGCCCAGCAGGGATGTTAAAATTAAAAATTCACAAAACTAATGCATCTTTCACATTAAGGGATTGAGATGGATATTTGTATCCTTGGAAATAAATCATTCAAGATGGACGCTGGTCTAATGTGCTGGCAACACACTCTCTGGTAGGTCAGAGCATTCACCAACTTCAGAGCTCGTTCGCTTCGACGATTACATTTAATCCCCTCGTAAATTCCAATGACGCACTCCCAGGCTGTGACTCATAAGCGAAAAAAGAGAATTAAGTTGTATGCCTTTTCCATTAGGCAGCACATACCTAGTGTGTCGCAGGGTTCGTTTTTCCAGGAGCATATATCCATTCCGGTCAGCAAGATCGCGTGGTCATGATGGCTGCCGTTCGGTGTGGTTAACGTGGACTGCCACTGGCAAAAGCTATTCAGTGAATGGTCGGCGTGATGGTCGATGTTTAACCCAGGCTGCAAAAAAAAATTAAATTTTTTAAAAATAAAAACAAACAAGTGATGTCATTTTTAATTCTAGATTGATGTAATTCTATGCAGCAGGTCTAGGGGTTCAAGCCTTGAAGGCTCTTTTTCAAAGGCCATTGAGAATTTCACTTTCTTGTGTAACTTATGTGAGTTATTGTATGTTGCACAATTACTACTCAAAAACAAGTTAACTTCAATAACCTACACGTTCCCAGAACTTGTTAACATTCAGAACTGCAGATGGAGCAATGGGTAGCAAGTTTGAGTGAGGACAATGGTTAACCATAGTTCAACTAACTTAACTCGAATGTAGGATGCTTGGATAACTCTTGTCGACTACTTGAAACCGGACCATGGGGCATTGTTCCATCACTGGTTACCAATACAGGGCGAGTCAAAAAAAAATGAAACCGAAATATCGGGACTATTGTTTTAGTGAAGTTCTGCATGGAGCACTTTCAAAATGTAGGACATGAAAGCCCAATTCTTTTAGTACAAGAATCAGTCAAAGCACTCACGTACTTTTCAAGATACAGAGTTTTAAACACAACCTCCGTTTTAAGGTTCTGTCCACGGATCACAAAAAGTTCAGTGTTTTTTCAGCAAAATGAAAACAAATCACATAGGGATGTGTGTGAATTGTTTTCGTTTTGCTGAAAGAATGCACACCTTTTTTGTGATCCGTGGACAGAACTTTAAAACGGTGGTTGTGTTTTATGAACTTAAAAAGTACATAAGTGATTTGAATGATTCTTGTACTAAAAGAAAGCTTATGAATTGGGCTTTCATATCCTAGATTTTGAAAGTGCTACATGCAGAACTTCACTAAAACAATGGTCCCGACATTGTTTTTTTTTTTTTTTACTCACCCTGTACAGCCACGGGCATCGTAATGCAAAGCAGGGAGCCTGCATCAATAAGTTTTGTGATGATGTTTTTGACCATAATGTGCATTAACTTAACCGGCGATGCGACTGACTTAAGTAGGAATAGTCACAAACAGTCCACTAGGCTAGTGTGAGTCGAGAAATGATAGTCAACCATAGTTAAAGGTAATAATATCATTTGCTTTTGCTCACAAACGGATGAATTTGGCGGAAAGCATTTTATAGCAAATTTTGTTACACTGACCTGTTTAAAGTATTGTGTTCATAGATGCTGGAAAAATTCAAGAAAAAATGTTGTTCTCGTAGCCTGATTCCCTGACCCCACTTTAGATGAAACGGAACAATTTATAGACGTCGGGGAATTGTCAGGTCAGGGAACCAGACTAGCTGGCTTGCACCCGTTCATGGATATGTAACCGATTGCAAACAAAATGTGGACAAACTAAATATGGTAAATAATTATTAAGTGGGGGCACTATTTGACAAAAAGTCATTTTTGTTTCCAAAGATGGTCAGGAAATTGATACAAAAATTCGACTTTTCTTAAAAAATAACTTGTGCGTATAACCACTGAACATGCAGTTCTTATCAGAAACAAGTAAATTGCAAAGTATTGCAGTACTACTATTTTTGATTGATAGTTTCTTCACAATGCGAATACATGTATCATATGTGATGCGATCAAGCTACATGAGTCGTTTGTCAACCCTGTTTTTTTTTATTACAGATTTGAAAAAAGTACAATCTCAGCATTACTGCTGTGAAAACCGCATGCTGATGCCATCTTTAGTTAAAAAATTATGGAAGTCGGAACACCAAGCGATGGTGATGAAGTGATGCGATGAAGTGGCCCTATTTTGGCCTGTCAATTGACTCACTTAGCTTGATCGCATCACATTTTATCAAAAATTATAATTTTGAGTCATTTTTTTTTCATTAAAGTAATGCATGTGTGTAGATTTTCTGTCCCAAGAAGACCCAAATCCCAAACTGTTCACATATTCAAACTAGTCCCGTGAAATATACTCAAGATATCAAGATGCTGGATGCAGGGCACAAAACCTGTACAAAAATGACATCATTTCCCACGGCAGGAACTTGACACATTTTACACAACCCAGTGCAATAATACGACCGACATATGATTCATCCACACACGAACAGTCAGAACAACACACCTGGAAATTGACAGTGCATAGCAAATGAAACCATGCACATTATGGGTTGGCACTATTGTACATGTTGGTGCCACGTGCATTAAAGATATAGTCCATCATTTGTAATTTGTGCATTTTGTTCGTTTGAAGCAACAAAAGTGCTCAAAATCTAAAGAAGGGTACTGAACAACTTACCTGATGAAGTTTTAGCCCAGCTTTAGCTGTATATTCCGAGAAAAACAGCATTGTAGGATCTCAATTTCAAATCATAAGTTGCTGAATCATGTTTTGAATTGGGCCTGAATTCAGCGTCCGAGACACGTTCTCAATGAGCCGATTGTAGCTACGCGATGTCGCGCACTGATCCGACGAATTATAGCAACCGGGCGTGCCTGTGCGTCGTGCCAATGCTTGCGCGTGCTTCGCCGATTAACAAAATGAACTACTAATTTAAATTTCCTACGGTGCGTCTTATGAAGCACCATTGGAAAGGCCTTCTTTCGTTGATTTCTTCAAAATGACAGCTTGCCAGAAAGAATAATTTCACAGGGAGTTTAGTCCCCTTACTTTCTTTCCACCAAGTATTTTTTCAACAATAATTACGCCAGTTACTTTTCGGATAGCTGCAAATGATGGACTATAGCTTTAAAGAGCATTTAACACTATCCAAATTTCTGCATTTGACCCGAGTCCAACACAGAGATTTCAGGAACCCCTTTCACACTGGCAAGAATCCAACAACTTCTACACGGGTCCGGCGCAGTACCCGGGTAAAATCCTACCCTGGTCAGGACAAGGGTTAAGGGGCTCTACCCAGGTGGAAAATCCAAAATCAACAGCAAATCCATCGGCAAACTGTTTTTTTTAAAGTGTGAACAATTATGCCTTGCCTACCCGTGTTCAATGGAGCTGATCCTCCTTCGTTTGTTTTGGTTCTTCTCTCTTTGTTGTTCATGGTATTGGGTGATATTTCAAAATTGTTCAACTTTGTCTACGTTCCCTCTTTATTTCTGGATAATTCTCTGTAACTCTTCTTCTACATGGTACGAACTTAAAACTTGGAACAAACATTGACCCTGATGCCATGATGACGTCATCAGGTTTCAAATTAAAAGCGATTAAAATAATGAACATTCCCGTTTATTTCAGTATCAAGCCAATTGCCAAGATATTCAAAGAGACTGTAACAAAGGCATAACTTTCTTAGTCATTCCCCCCCCCCCTCCCCCTCCTCCCCCTGGGAATTATTTATCACTTCACTTGTAGTAAACTTGAAATTGACTTTTGGTTGACTTCAATGCAACTCTTATGTGCAACAGGTGTGAACATCCTATTATTGAAGTTCAGCTGCACCATTTTCTTGTTTACTGTTTCCACAGGTAGGTGTCCAGTACCCTAAGTTAGTAAGTCTGCAGACGAAAATTTCCCCACATTCATGTAGAGATTGAAAACATGTTCATGTTCCTTTTTGCATGAGCCTGTTGTTTGTGGTACTCATTCTTCAAATTTATCGGCCAGACAAAAAAAGAGAAAGAGTTGCAGCAAGTGGATGTCATTCAATGCTACCAAAATACTTTCTTTCAACATTGCAATGTTTTTACAAAATTACCAGATCCCCCAGGTCGGCAGGCATTGACATCCAGAAGGTTTCAAGATCGGCTGGTTTGTCCCTTAGGATTGGTTCATAAGAGCCTATGTGACATTGCAAGGATAATTTGCTGTCCACAATGTAGGCCACCTTGGAGATCACAATCAATTTTTTTCGGTCATTTTTTTGAAGTATGTCTGCGCTCTAGCATCTGAAAATTCCATTAACCCTAACCAGGCCCGTCGTCGCCTGGGGGAGGAGGGGAGGGGGGGAGGGGGGCCCCGACGAGTAACTGCCCCCCCCCCCCATCAGCAAAAACCATAAGCGTAAAAATCTATATATAAGTGTGGTTGTTCTTGTGGTGTGCCCTCCTAATTTGTACTGTGCCGTGCCCCCCCCCCCCCATGTCTGGAGCTGGCAATGGTCCTGGCCCTAACCCTCCTCATCCTCCAAAATCAACCAGGCGGTTTTGGAGGAAATTGGAGGATCGAGGCTGTATGCCATTTTGAGTGCCAGCTGATTGTGGACGATGCATTAAGTCAAGTTCTTAATCTGTACCTTGCGTTGTTTTATGCTTAGCCATGCATAAAGTATGCCTTGATTATAATAGATATCATTCACAGTGCTCCAACATGTGTCAAAAGGAGCCGAAGGATTTTGAAGGATTGAGGGGTGGTCACCCCCCCCCCCCCCCCCCCCACTTAACAAATTCAAGAAATAATGGATGATTTAAGAGCCTAAATTGAGGCTGTATACAATTGTACACGTTGGCATTTGGAGGCTTTTGCAGGATTGAGGATATGGTTCCTAGCCAAAAGAACCTGGGGTTAGGGCCAAATGGATTTCTCCCTACTATGGAAGAAAACACTATTTTGATGAAATAAACATTCTCTTCACTACATTTTGTATGTCGGCAGTCAGGTTTAACTTAAATAATGTTTTCATCAAGTAATACCTGTGCTGATAAATAGATTAACAAGGTACAAATTGAGAGTACAAATTACATGTAAGGGTGGGACACTCCTAATTTGAAAATGTCTGCTACTTATACGCTTTTTGGTGATATCTTAATAAAAATTTCATAATTTATTTAAAGCTACTTATCTAACAATTTATCTAAACGACAAACTTACTTTCATTGAAATAAAAAAATACTTACTTGGTCATCTTGTAACAGTAGTAAACTAACAAGAACTATGTTGATGGTGTTGCCCAAAGTAGCATCCTTGTACAAACTTGTCACCTGAAATCAAGACAAAAACAATGTTTTTGTTCAACTTTAGTCATTGTTACTTGAATCTTGCTTGCAAAGAAAACCACAAATGTCTCAAAGGGCACAAAAGGTGCTTTCATACTATTATATCCAAAACTTCTGTGTTGGACACAGGTCCAACATGGAGAGTTCAGGTACCCCTTTTACCCTAGCAACTAGAATCCAACATGGCTTCTACGCAGGTCCAACGCTCAACACGGGTAAAATCCAAGCCTGGTCAGGACCAGGGTTAAGAGGCTCTACCTGGGTAGACAACCCAAAATCTTTTTCTTTCTTTTTTTAGGGAGGGAGGGGGTGTATTTATGTTATTTTTGTGTTACTTTATTGTTTGTTTTACTTGTTGCTCCAAATTTACTTGTGTTTCTGTTACCTGTTAATGCAATGACCGACTGAACTTTTGAACAACGGGAAGACTATTTTCTACCACGGCTTTGCCCTCTCTGACGTCTTTTGACTTTATTTTGTTGCAGCTAGCAAAGTGAAATCTGGAAAGAATAAGGACCCCCCGCGGCCATTGTCTAGGAAAGATACAATCTACAAGTTATGACAAGGAAACTCAGTGTGATCAACTAGAAGACTAACCCTAATGCTTTCTGGATGTATGATCGCTCTAGATTTAAACCGTTATGACAATGTATTTAACAACATTTTCTGAAAGTTAAAAATGGAATTCCATGCAAATCAAGTACAGAAAAACTGGCATCTTCAAGCATTTCTTAAAGTGTGTTTTTACAGCAGTGAGCTTACAATGAGAGTACAAGACTAATCTTCTGAATTTCAATCCTGTCTGATTGAATTCTTGCCACAATATCAAACTTAATCCATGAAATCTCAAAAATTGGAAGGATTCCACCAAGTGGCTTTTAGACTGAAATGGCTGAGCAGCTGTGCTGACCATTCAATATCCTTTTAAAGGAATCCTTGTCTGGACAATTTCCAAAAAAACTAAAAAAGTTTTTTTTTTTTTAACCCTATCAAAAAAAAATGGGCAGGAAAAGACTGCAGGAGACTTTTGTGTAAGCCCTTCCAGTAAGCCCTTAAATCCAGAAAATGCCTGGTAATCTTGTTTTTATTATACATGTAAAGCATATTTTTGTCCAGTTTCTGCTTTCTGCAAATACAAATGCAATAGGAATTTGACGTTATTAATAAACATTCGTGGCAAACTTCTGTACTCAAAATGTGTTTAACTTTTGCAAATTCTAACTGCAAATGCTTGTCATTACGTTGTGTTCGCTTGCACTTTCATACCAGCATCAAGTGGCTTTATATTATACAGAGTGTGGCCTAGTGGTTTGTGTTTGTGACTCATTATGAGACACATGTACATGTAGTCCAGGGTTCGAATTCAGCTGCTGGCCATATGTTGTGTCCTTGAGCAAGTTACTTCACTTCATGGTACAGCAATAACTGTAAAGTAACCGGCAATGGGCTGGCATATCATCCAGGGGACTAGAAATATTCTCGGTTGTTTCTTGCCATGTCGATAAACACTGCTAGGATGAGCCATACGCTTTGGGACAGACTTCATGGACTTCACTGTGAACCAGCCTTGATGTGGCCTAATAGGGATCAGGCCTAATAGGGACGGATCAGGCCCAAAGGGTGCACGCCTGTAAGTAGGCCATAAATCCTTCCGCCGAGCTCACGAATAAAAGTTATACCCTCAAAATATTCTATATTAGAGAGTTTTGAGAGTCATAAAATTGGGGAATTGAAGAGATATGGTAATGAACCTCTGGCCCGGACTTGGGGCTTCCAATTCTGAGCATTTTGGATGCTATTGGGCTCGAAAGTGGCGCTATTTTGCCATGTTGTGGAGGGATCGTTTTTCAAGATGGCTACTTTTCCGCTTTGGGGAAAATAGGGGTCGTCTTCTTTGGGTGAGAATATCTCAAAAAGTCAATGGTCAACCCACCAAAAAATGAAAAGAAAATGAAAGATGACACATTGATCATCATTTTTCTGTGCAGCTTGAATACCTGTGAGAGTTCTGAGTATTTTTAAAAGAATTTTGAAGTATGCGCATTTAGCACTAGTGCCTATGGGATTTTTTTGGCAGGGTTGCACCCTAAAGTCACAATGCTAGCATCAGTACTGCTGCAACCATCGAAGACAACACTGGGAAGATCTTGTTTCTGTTAAATCTCATGGTCCTTCTACTGATTAAAACGGCAGCAGGTCATCCAGTTTTCCCTTCATGCTTTTTTTGATGTGTATGAAAATAAACAGTTGTATCCTATCTGAGTGATCTCGGAGTCGATCCTCAAGTTATCTTTTGATTATCTTTTTGGACACATGACAGAAAACGTTGTTGGCCATGAATTGTCCTGCTTTGATGCGTAATTGCAAACCTGTTCAGATGATGTCCGGGAATTAAAACCAAGGCTTGGATTTATTGTAGATTTCCTGCCTTGCGATTCAACCTGTTGTGAATTTTGAGTCAGGACCGAGTCAAAGATAATGCCTTTAAATCCAGTGCCTTATTAATCGTTGTCGCCATATGTCATACACTTTTGTGAGTGGTCACCAAGGACCAAAAAAGCTGCTAGCATTGCTAGCCGGCACAAGTCTGACTTGAAACTTACTTTCAATCTCATTAACTTCGGAAGAATCACTGTCGTGGAATATCAACTTTACAAATGAAGGATTCTATAAAATGTTACCATTTTCCAATGACCTACACACAGACAAATGTGAGGCGTTCTGGCAATACACAGGCTGTAGTGGAGAAAAATGTAAAAAGCCAAATGGGGTGATTTTTTTTTCAATTTTCAGATTTATTGATGTTTGTAATCTTTGATACATCTACTACACATATTTTGAAAATATATAGCACAACAATTGTGGAATAACAGTGTTTTCAAGGAATCTTTCATTTTCTCGCCTACAAAACTTGAAACTATAAAGGCCTTTTCTCAGTGGTTCCCTTTTTTATGTGTCGATACATGAACTTTCTACTGCTATAACTTGTCAACGGATTAAAGTGCAACAAACAGTATTGCAGGGACAATTTTTTTTCTCTTTCCTAATACCCGCAAACCTTCATTTCGAACTCTTCTCTCAGTTCTGTCTCATTTTGCCAGAAAGCCTCAGAAATGCTCTTTCATGGACCAAGTGTGGCCTAATGTATCACGATATAGTGCATGTCAAACGTGTGCCTACCACTTACGGTGCACCTGAGAGACACATAGTGTGATAAACCTTTCCATGCAAACCAAATTTTAATTGTGTCTCACGGGGTGTGAAAATCAATTCCCTCTCTGCTAACAGAGGGTCCTACCAAGCAAGGATGCAGTCAAGTCATCTTAAGTCCAGTCACAAGTAAATCATAAGTTCATTCACAAGTTCAGTCCCAAGTAACAGTGGATGAACCATAAACAAAGGAATGCCTTTGCCAAAGCTCATTTGAATAGCTTGCCAGGTGAATTGGGACTGGAGGACTTGTGATGGACTTGCAGGGACTTGTGATAGACTCCCTGCTACAGACCAGGCTTTTTTATGGGGGGGGGGGGGTTCCTTCCACTATGGTCTAGAGACTTTGCATTCTGCTTTTACCATTTCACATGTGACTCTGATAAAACATCTGGTCACTTAAGGTACTGCAAGTCACAGTAATTTTAAGTGAAGGTAGGTAGCTGAGGAAATGCAATAAGGAAAGATCTGTGCCTACAATGTGCAGCTACAATGAGCTCATTTCCTTCGAGACCTGCTTGTTATCAGGAAACAATGCATCTGTCAAGTGGGAGTCATTAAGTTGTTACCCTGGGATTGTTAGTCGAAGAGCCACATATCCAGGTATGTCCCATGACGGTGAATGAACATGAATGAGTCATAGCTACCGGTAATGTGATGGGTAGTCACAAGGACAAACATTAAGTGTTTCTGGTCAGGGGGAAAGCCAAGGTGTTCAGTGGGAATTTGTTCGTTTCAGCTGACCTTTTTGTGAACCAGAAATTTTAGAATTTGCTTCCGCAAGCTGACCCTGGTAAGCTCAGTGGAAGGCATGCACTAGTAAGCAGGAGGTCATGTGTTCAAATCCCGCTTGAGAACACTTCTGTCTTTAAGATTTCTGTCTTAAAAGCTCTCAAAAATCACAGACTACAAAGCTTTGGAAAATACACATATTGACGAAGGGCAAAATCCAAGTATGAATTACAAACACTGGACTTTGGCATGTTGGAAAAAAGCAGCTAAATCTTTATTCATGCTCAGATTTCAAATTCGAGAAATAAATGTACAAATTTTCAGGAAATTTAGCATGCATTGTAGTGTGGCTCTGAGTATTGAGGAAGTCCAGTATTTGAGACTCATTTATGGGGCTTGTCAAACACTAAAAGATGACCATTCAGTTTTGAATAGCTTTTGTGTCTTCACAACAGAGCTTCCGTGTGTTACCAAACAAAACATTTTATGATAGACTTTGTCTATAAAATTCAAATTCTTGCTCTCTATAAAAGCATGCCGCCATGCTAATCTGTCATCATTAAATGGTATTATCTCTGTAATTGGTTGACTTCCGCTATCAGGTTTGCCCAAGGCGCCTCTGTTCAGGTTTGGAAAGGCGACGGGATTGCTTAAAAGATCAAACAGACATACATGCCACCAGCTTGGAAATGAATAAGTGTTGGGTTTGTCGACAGATCATCCGGCCTGCCAAAGCCAGCTGGCAGTGCTTCCTCATTGAATTTTTTCCAATTTTTTTAAGGTAATTTGATCAAACGGTGATCAAAGCTTTGCAAAAAGATTTTAAAAACCTTAAAAGGCACGTAGGAATATTGGCAATTACCTGGAAACACACTTGAAGAGATAAAACCTTGCTCAAAGTGAAGATAGGGCAATCTGCTACCCATTTATACTCTTGGGCGGAGAGAGGCAATTGTAGTAAAGTGTCTTGCCCATGAACACAGGCAATGTGTTCCTCGTCAGAATTCGAACCCTGTACTATCACACATCAGTCAAGCACCATAGCCGTGGGACCACGGTGCTTGTAGAAGGTACATGTGCTGTTAGAAGAAAATTGAGTGCATAGCAACGCCATAGAATTGGCCTGTGCTCACACCACAAGGAAAACTCCAAAACAAATTGAAGCTTAACAGACAGAGCGCTGCCCCAGCCCGACCCGGGACTTGATAACTTGGAATGTAAAAAGTAAATTTTGTCTCCAGGCCATAGCCAAACCCTTCAAGGCATTAGAGCAGACTTAATCCACGCTTTACCAAAGTCAAGAGTGTTAGTGGAGCCAGGGTAGCGGAGAGTTGATTCCCTCTCACAAGGGCCTCAAGGGTCAGGTCCATTATTGTGTAAATGGACTGCCAATGTGCTGCAACTTGTCAAAATGGTCCATGTCAACCGTACATCATTAACCAGAGCATTAAGATGTCATCGCACCTAGCTAGCAGGAGCACATGGCTTATGGATTTTAAAAATCAACTGGGAGGAATGTTCTTGGCGCTGCTAACCGCAGAATTCTGCACTAAAAACAGACATGTTAGAATACCAATCCATGCTTTTACCATGAAAGCAAAGACATTTTGCACAAATTTACCCAATGAGCAGTGTTGTAGTCGAGTACATATTCACGAGTATGTACGAGTATTTTGCCATGAGTACGACTACGAGTACGCGTACAAGTACGTTACCTTCCCATAAATGTGTATGAGTACGAGTACAAGACAATTTTTATTTCATGAGAACATTTCAACAAGCATGAGCTACATTTTTACAACTATGTACCGGTACCTTGAGATTCAAACCATCTGTACCATTGGATGGAGAATCTTTTTGGTAGAAAAATAATGCCAAGATCTCCCGATTCGGTCCAGAATCGCCTATTACGTGAAGCACACATCTTTCATGTTCGTATTTACATGTATAGCAATTATTTCAAATAGGTATCTAATATTTCCTTAACAATTAATCCCTCTATCCAATTACGTCAAATTTGCAGGCGCGGTTTAGTAATTCATCGGGACAAAATTACTCCAGACTTTATTTTACAAGATGGGCTCTGAAAAAAAGTACTGGACCGTATCAGGCCATCTTGATATCATTTTTCTTTTAACAGAATTCCCCATGCATTTATATAGGTTGTTTGAGTCTCAGTGTAGCTGAAGGACACCCTTCCATTTATTGGGGGGGGGGGGGGGGGAGGGGAGCCACCCTGTTTATATGTAATTTTCCAAATTCCTTCAAAAAAAGACACCAAATGACCAACGATATGCATCAATCTGTCAGTGTAAAACCATTAAAAGAGTGATTTAGGGCTGTTTTTCCTACCAATGTTAGTGTTAACCATTACAACGGTGTATCTTTGGGGCTGTTTTTATAACAAAGTGATTACTTTAAGGCAGTAAGGGAGTTCATTTCAATTTCGGTGACACAGTATCATGAGGAGAGTGCACTAACCTGTAACAGAGCCAGTTTCATCCACCCAGAACAAAACCCAACCCCAAACAAGTTGACATTGTAATGCATATCTCTGTCAACTATATGTAAATGATGGGAAACAGAGCAACTTTTTGGGAAGAAAAACCTAAATACTTTTAACAAAAGAAACCAGAATATTATATGATCTCTTTCACTGGAATACTGCACAGTATCTTATGTCATGTATAAGCCTTTTCACTCTATCGTCTCGCCTACCCCTAGTTGAAATCAACACGGGACCATCGTAGGTGGTTCCAATCAAACATGGGTCGGCTGCACATTTTAGATTTTCTACCTGGGTACTACCGGTAGGTACTAGCCTTTCAACCGTGGTCTCGACTATGGTTTGAGTTTACCAGTAAGAGAGCAGTGTTAGAATTGCTAGCAAGAAAGTGGTTCAAGAAATCCTTGTTTTGGACCGGGTCCAACATGGCGATTTTGGATAGTCAACCAAACAGTAGAAAAAGTATCTTCTCTTGCATATGTACCTAAAAAAAATCAAAAAGTCCAGCGGGAGAACATTTTTATGAGCAGAGTATGAGACATTGTACTGAGTACGAGTATGAATGAGTATGAGAAAAACATTGTGTCCACATAGCACTCGGGTCAAATCGCTTGAATGGTTATTGTGTAATGGTTGCTTTTCGTTCAAAACTTAGTTTTAAATGTAGAAATAAGAGAATACAGTTTCAGATTTTCACTTATCTATCAAATTTTGCAAATAAATAATGCAAAAGTAAATTTTAAAAACAAGAATAAATGAGAAAAGGTTATTAAATTGGAAAAATATGCAGTGTTTATACCCTTCTGCCATCTTGAAATCACATGATTTTAAGCGTGACTTGTCAAGTGCAAGAGTATACTCTCAAGTACTCACACGTACTCATGGGTCATGCTCCAGCTGCTCATATTCGCTCAGGAGTACACTTGAGTTTACACCAGTGACTCGGTCAATACAGCCCTAGTGAGTGGTCACACCTTGCCATCTACTTTTCATGCCTGAAGTCCAAGAAAGCATTTGCAAACCTGTCTTCAATTTGATTGATTAAAATGGCTTCCTCGGCAGCATCTGTTTTCAAACTTTTTTCCAACTGGTCATGGACAGAGCCGACCTCGGGCGATTTATGTCAGCAAATAACCCAAGTTCAACTGCACCTGTTGTTCTTTGGGACTTGCAACCTGGCCCTCATAAATTACAAATAAACTGCTGGCAATCATCCGGCGACTTCCGACTAAACTGGTCATTATATATGGGAAATACTGAATGCTGACTGTACGCAAGAATTCCTGCTATCTTGAAATAAGGCTCTCTGCAGTGATGTACGTACTTATGCTCAGTAGCCCAGATACATGCTGATGGACCTGCGTGACACTAATGGATTTGTATCCCAATTGATGACCCCGTCTGACCTATTTATTAGGGAATAAAATCGCAGTGGGTAGAAATATGACTTTAAGCTGCAACTTCAACTTTTGACACTGGATGAGACCTTGAGACCATAAAAAATACCAACAGTGATTTTTAAATAGGGCATATATCCCACCAATATTGGCACCCAAGGTGCTACATTATCATTACCCCCTTCCCTAGTGACCCCTTTAAAATATTCATAAGATCAGCTCAGCTCCCTAGGAAGAAATTCAGATTGATACTGCCATTATGGCGCAGCTGGCTGATTCAAACGTTTTTCGAACTGTACCCAGCCATTTTACTCCTTGGTTGAGAGAAGAGATTCATGACAAAGAGTCTTGCCCAAGGACACAAACGCATCACAGCTCAACTGATTTGAACTCATGGTTTGAAGAATCAACCACCCTGCAGAAATCTTTGCAAAACTGCAAATCAAGTTGAGTTCTTGGTCTTTCAATACAAAAGTATTGAATATTTTAAAGCTTTGCTTTTCTGTAACCCGACCCACTTTTACTAGATGTCACATTTCAATACCCGTTTTCTCAAAAACATTTTGCTGAAAACATCTGCTTGTTTTCATAGAAAGCATCTAAGATGTCCTACCGGCCCACTTTTTTTCCCCCAATGCATTAAAAGCTGATAACATTGAAGAGTTTTGGAGTGGTTCAGCGGTGGAATCAAGTTACAAGTTTTGTTTTAGTGGCTTTTAGAGTCAAGCGCTGACCCCTGTGAGCCATTTGGGCGCCAGGTCAATGCTATGATGGATTAATAGTCATGTGAATATAGCGCAAAGACCTCTTGTGTCCAAACATGAACTCCATCAAGACTACCAAAGATTTGCTTGTTTTTTTTTCTTCACAGGTACAATGTACAACTTAGAAATCACAACGGCCCAATTTCACGGCTGTGCTTACTGTTTGCAAAAAACTTCCTGATTACCATAGGCTGAGCCCCCCCCCCCCCCCCAGGTTTTAATTGGATTCTTCACCATTTATGGGAATATTTCTTTTGGGTGTACTGATTATATGGCGTGGAATTGTTTAGCCTTGGCGGAGGTTTGCGCTCTCTGAGTGCTTTCTAGTTTTTAATGTTGCAGTGACCGTCCTCTCGGGACTTGTCAGAGATTTTAAACTGAAAATCAACTTTTCCAGTGACCAGGTTGGCTCTGTAAAATTGTAACGCTGTGCAGAGGGTTAAACTTGCAATGAAGAATTTACGGTAGACTATTTGGCAAGTTTGCTGGCTGTCTGCAAGGGAATTAATTGGGTTCAGTTAACAACAGCCTAAACCTATTAAAAGACAATTTTGTTCAAGTTTCGCTGAATTTAACTTCATACTCACCATATTCAGTATTGTCAGGACGTAAGATGTGATCTTCTCTTCTCCATGGCTGCGAATCATCTTCTTGTCCACGACCACCAGCGTTTCCACAAAGCGGTTTCTGTGGATGTTGCCCTCAATGGCGCGCTTGGGTCTACTTTCGGTTGAATGCCGTGGTAAATCGAACTCATCTGCAAAAATGACTGGTTCCTCCGGAACATGTGGCTGAACTGTGGGGTTCAAAAAGTGAAAGTGAGCAATTTTACCTTTTTAAACATATTTTTTGTAAATATGATTCTGTAAATATTAAAGGAAGAAATACTGCACTTAGTCTGAATAAGAAAACACTTGAAAGATGTTTACAGCAAATGGCCAAATGCACAGTGATGTTGTGTTGAGTTTGTCTTACAGTCACTATGTGGACTTGTGAACAAAAGATGTCCACATAATGCAGGTTGTGTTGACGTTATGTGGACTAAGCCCTGTCCACATAACGTTTCGCCCTCTCTGGAAAACAGGTTTAGAGGCATTTTCGGGTTAGGGTTATCCATCGCAGAATGAAGAGAAACATTCAAGGAAATCAAAAAACAAATTTGGGGTTGAAAGAGTTTTCACAGTTTAAGTAAAGTTATTTTTTGTACCAAGTTTTCTTAATTACACAAAAACAAAGGAATGTCCACATAGAGTATGTAAAACAAACATGGGTGGTTTTGTGAATGTTAATAAAAGACACTATATTTTCTGTTATACAGACCTTTGAAATATGGCTAGCAACCAATATCAAACACTAAATTTTGTCGACTTTCGGACAAAAGTATACCTTTAATAATGAATACAAACACTTCTGACAGCACTGCTCATATGAATAACATCATTGCAGGACAAATCCTAATTCAAGAAAAGAATGTTCTCAAATACTTAGAAGTGGTTGATGACTTCCTGCTTGATGCACTTGGGGACTGTGACCTGTTTTCTCAGGAAGTAATTTATCTTACAAATCCCTGATGCGTCTTCAGGATTTAATGCTAATCAAAATACTGTGGTGACACATCACCTAGTGTGTAGGGTCGTCAGTTAAAGCTGTTCTACCGTGCTTTTCAGCAATCAGCGCATTCAATTTTTTTTTCTCCTTTAGATTTGTATTTTTATTTAAATGGAAAAGGCTACTTTGCTCCATTTTTGATGTTTTAAACCCTCTGAAAATATGCTATTATTTTGGCTTCATGTATATTACACTCATAAATGCACAAAAAACGTACACCTGAATTACTGTCAGGATGTAATAAAAAAATATTTTGTAATGTAGATATTCCATATATTTTGAAGTAAGATCTGTTTGTTTGATTTCTCAGCCACAAGTGGTTAACATTTGTATTGTTAGAAAAATAGCAATATAAACAAAATCTATTTTGGGGGTTGAAACTAGAAAAAAAGTCACAGGGCTAGAGGTCAGAAATGTTTTCTCCATATGTTGGAGCCTGGAGGAGACAGTTCATAGTTTTCTGCTTGTAAACAGAACCCAATCTAGCAAGAATTTGCATCTATCTAGAGTCAACTTTTGATGTCTTCCATCAAAAGTCAATCAAAATGCCTGATTGATGCAGGCCTAAGACTTTGAATTTTTAGTTCGAATGATCAAAGAATATTTTGGATTCTGAGTTCTTCTGGAATATCATTTCACATGCGAGGCACAAGGCCACTGGAGAATGTTCAGAATGTTCAGCAAAAACATATTTTTTAAAAATCCCATCCAAAAGTCAATCAAAATGCCTGATTCATGTAGACTTTGAAGTTATTGTTCGAAGGATTAAAGAATATTTTGGATTCTGAGTTCTTCTGGAATATCATTTCACATGCGAGGCACAAGGCCACTGGAGAATTTTCAGAATGTTCAGCAAAAACATATTTTTAAAAAATCCCATCCTAAAGTCAATCAAAATGCCTGATTCATGTAGACTTTGAAGTTATTGTTCGAAGGATTAAAGAATATTTTGGTTTCTGAGTTCTTCTGGAATATCATTTCACATGCGAGGCACAAGGCCACTGGAGAATTTTCAGAATATTCAGCATATTTTTAAAAAATCCCATCCTAAAGTCAATCAAAATGCCTGATTCATGTAGACTTTGAAGTTATTGTTTGTTCGAAGGATTAAAGAAAAAAAATTGCATTTCGCATGCGAGGCACAAGACCAGACTGGAGAATGTTCAGTCTCATGAAGAGATAAAAGACTTCAGGGCAAAAACACATTTTTAAAAACAACACACCCCTCCCTCCACTGGGAATAAAATGATGTCTTCATTCTTTTGAATTAGTACAGTAGCTGTAGGCTAACTGAGTCATTCCTAGTGGCTTACAGCAGGAAAAAACACCAATTTTTTCCAATCATCAAGAACACACCATAGTTTCATCTTAAGTTTTGGTTTTGAAGAATCAGGTGGTCTCCATGCAAGGAATAAGAATAAGACACATAATTACACACTGAATTAATATCATTTAGTCTGAGGGGGTGACTTATGAATATTTTGTATTAATTTCCAACGGTAATATTATTTTCCTGTTTCTACAAACCTATACAAAGGCAGATGGGTCATTCAATAAATTTGAGGTTCAAAGTGTGACACTGTCCTGCCCCCGTTACATGGAGGTCTCTTAATATCTTTGTGATTTGCACATTCAAGCACCATTTAAAGGGAATATACAACATTTGCAAACATCGAAAAACAAAACTACCAAATTTTTACGAAATACCTTACTAGGATGTTGGTAAATGACAGTCTAAAGCATCCTGTAAAATTATGGCACCTAGTGTGAAGTCATTTTCAAGAAAAGTGGTATTTTTGTATAAATTTCCAACGGTGGTCGGCCGACCACTGTTGGAAAAACCTAACAATTTTTCAACTACTGCTCCAAATTTACCATTTTCTTTCAGTCCAAACTTTGTTTGCTATTGGTTACATGTTCATGAACGAGTGCAGACCAGCTAGACTGGTTCCCTTACCTTACAATTTTCCGGCATCTATAAATTGATCCATTTCATCTTTAGTGGAGTCGGGGAACCAGACTTCTTGAACATTTTTGGTTTTTCTTGTTTTTGCAGCATTTTCGAACACAAAACTTCAAACATGTCAGTGTAACAACATTTGATATATAATACTAACCCCTCAAATAGTTCATTTCTGACAATTACAGCAAAAGCCAATGATGTACATTCCCTTTAACGTGACTTCAAACAATTGTTTGTTTTACTTGTTGGATGGTAGTCTACAAAACCACTCTTGGAAGAGAAGGAAAAAAAGGAAAACAAGTTGACCCCACATTTTTAAAATGACCCAGATCCAACTTAACTGTACCTCGTCCACCGTAATGACATAAAACGTTTTACACGTTTTGCGGCAACATCAAAGTTCTGATAGAAGACAGCCAATATTGAACTAAAGGATTAAAACTAATAATATGACAATATTAGCCCGTCCGCACTGTTATACAAACGACTTTTAAGGATATTATATAAATCATTTGTGTATAGACACTGATTTGCGGGGTAGATAACCTATCTAGGAACATAAGGCCCGGCCCAAGCATAAAGTGCTTTATAAAGTGTTGGCACTTGAACAAGGAAAACAGAACTACTTGGTATGAAGCGTCAACATGTCTGGTGTATAGTGCATAGTTTAAATACCAAATACTTCGATTATTGACCGGTTGTCTCCATGGCCTGGGTTATACTACTTCATATAGGTCTGTATAGGGTGATTATCTCAAAGCTATGGCGGCGAAAACCCATCGCTATGAACTGAGGGCCAGTTTCCCGGCACTCCCTAATATAATGGTAAGCAAAAAGTTAGAAAAGTTGCCACTTGGCCGAATTTTCACAACAAGCACAAAAATGTCCACTTTTCCAGTGCGAACCTGTAATTTCTGGAGATTTTGTTGTTGCAATTACTATTTCAAACAAACTCTTCATTTGACGTAAGCATGATCTTTACTGTGGTTACATAACTTCTTGATAACTCTATTTGGGCAATTCCAAGAAATTTTACCTGGGTCTTGTTTAGAGTATGAAAAACAAAGTTAAAGGGAATATACATCATTTGCTTTTGCTGTAATTTTCAGAAATGGATGGAATTGGGGGGTTGGAAATATAAAGCAAATATAGTTACACTGACTTTTTGGAGGTTTTGGGTTCGAAAATGCTATAGAAACCAAGAAAAACGATCATTTTCCTGTAGTCTGGTTCCCTGACTCCATATAAGAAGAAACAGAGCACTTTACATACATTGGGGAATTGTAAGGTCAGGGAACCAGTCTAGCTGGCTCGTACCCGTTCATAGGTTTGTAATCGATTGCAAACAAGTGCAATGGTCAATTGGGGCCAGTATTTGAAAAAAGCCAGTTGTTTCCAACGCTGATCGGCCGATCAGCGTTGGAAATTGATGCAAAAATGCCACTTTTCTTGAAAATGACAGTATACCAGGTGCCATAATTTTACAGGATGCTTTAGACTGTCATTTACCAACATTCTGTTAAGGTATTTCGCAAAAACTTGGTAGTTTTATTTTTCGATGTTTGCAAATGTTGTATATTCCCTTTAAGTCTGTAATGGGCCTATATGGCTCCTTAGGCGGGCATTTAATAACTCTGGTTTCCAGGGCGTGAAACAACTGAGAATATTTCTATTCCTCCTGGATTGGATGTAAGTCCATCGCAGGTTACTCCCCAGCTTATGTTGGTACCCAGTGGAAAGAGGCAAGTTGGGGTAAAGTGGCTTGCCCAAGGACACAACATACGACCAGCAGCTGGATTCAAACCCCTGACCCTCTGATCATGAGTCACAAACCCCACCAACCACTAAGCCACATGCCTCAATACTTTGGTTTATAAAAAATGTCTAGTGTCAATAACATTGGCTTTACATGTATATCATTATCTCCCGTTAACTTGCATGCATTCCAAACTCTAAAAACCAAATTCCTAAAGAATTAAGGAGTGATTAAAATTTGTGTTGTAAATTAAAACCAATGTTTGCATATTTGTAAATCCCAAAAGTGTAACAAGTCATACAAGCCAGTATTAAGTCAACGCACTTTAAGTATCGTGGGCAATAAATATGCGCAAACACACTTGCCCAAGTTTGTAAACCCTATGAACTGAATCTGTCCCTGGCTGTCGGTGCAAAACAAATTCTTTAATTCAAACCGAGAGGGGGGCGTAAGTTTCAGTTTCCACGGT